GAGTACAGCAGATATATCCTCTTGGTGTAACAAAGAATAAAGCTCCTTCAGGTCCACCCTGTTGGGAAAGCGTAAACAGTCGTTAGGAGTCTGATGGGTCGTTGTGATCTTCATCAGAACGGTTTCGGTCACGTCTCTGAGAAGAAACTGAGGAGAATCTTTTAAGTATTGTTCTTAAGAGAGTGTTGTATGTGGGTGATTTGTGAGGTTGTGTCTGAGTCCACCTCCTCTGCTGAGTGATGGTTTTTCTAGGTTGACAAAAATGGCTTCTTTTACCCCTCTCTCTCTCTCTCTCTCTCTTATTTTATTTGTTTGGATTAGATAGTTCGGTGGGCCACCAGTTATAGATCAGTGGTCTAATGCAGTGTTTTTCAACCTTGTGGTCATCTGAAATGTTTAGTAATTGATATAAAAAATTCTGATAAAATATTTAACTAATTCTTATTTCTTTTAAAATAATGATCAAAAAACCACATGCATTCTTTCTAACCTGACTGTATATACAAACACGATCAGAAACTCATTCTAGGAGAAGATCTCTCTGGGGTCGCCGTAAATGGAGTCACAATCCATTTCCTCAAAGTACCCCACCACAGTGTATATTCAGTTTATATGAGTAAATAAAGTTGTCAACGTAGGAAGATCATTTTGGTCATTTCAAAAGTGGACAAAGTTTTATCTATTTATTTTTTTGTCATGGAAATAAAAAAAATCCGTCCAATGAAAACCTTATTTGTGTCTGGTGATATTTCCGGAGAAGAGGAAGTGGAAACGATGACAGTAGTTACAGGCGTCATCAGACACAGACTCTGTGAGAAGTGCTGCTCTGTGCTACGTAGGCTCTACAGTTCCTGTGGAACAGCAACAAAAGTTGCTCAAATGTTTTGCTCTGTCCGTTGTTTTCTTTTCTTTTTTTTTTACACTTTTAAGTCTGACACACAGAAGACAGGTGTGTGTGTGTGTTTATACAGTTTTATTTGTGTACAGGAGGTGATACAAACCAAATACTGTGGACACAAGCATGAGAAACTACGGTCATAAAGTCCAAACACACACTCGTCTTCTTAATCATCATTATCATTACAGTAGAGTTGACGGCTAAATCAGGAAGTGACAACACAGACACACCTTTTCTCTTTAATAGACGAGCACACACACCGACAGCTCTGTGTAAGACGCGTGACGTACAAAAGGCCGTAGAAAAATATTTGTAAAAATAAAAAAAAACAACAACAACCAAACAATCAATGCTGTTGAGCACTGGAATGTTCTACATCTCACTTTAATGATGGCGACAGTGGCGTGAGGCTAATACTGATGTGTTTAAGTTTGTAAACCACTTAAAAATATGTCTGTATAATTTTGCTTTTTTTTTTTATTCTCTGCTTTTTTTGGCCATTGGACTGTTGCGGGAAATTAGCTTGATGCTAACAGCTACTATAAACTGTCAAGTCGCTTTGAATTAGAGCGTCTGCTAAATGTAATGTAATGTAATTTTCCAGCCTTTGTAGATTTAGGTAAAGGTTTGGACTACAAACCAACAGCACTTCCCGCTGCTGTTGACAACTTAACTGGACAAGGCTACAGCTATCAAAACATTAACTAAAAAAATTTACATTTTTACCCTTAGGTCAGAATTCAGTCCATCTTCAAATGTTCCTTCAGTTTTTAATTCAAATTTAAAGGAAATGTTTTTCTTACACTAACAAATCAGAAAATTCAGAATTTCAGATTTAAAAAGGAAAAACAATACAACGTTCATATTCACATTCGGAGATTCCCACTTTTAACGTTAAAACTTAAAATACTCAGGAAATTTAGTTATTTATTTTTTAGTATTAAAAATGCAAACTAGAAATTTTCGGGAAAACACAGGTGTGAAAATTGGGATTATTCTGAATTGAGAGAGTTTAGACGGAATAAAAGTTTGTGTTTTTTTTTTTTTTTTTAGTAATTTTTGCCTTTAACACACTTCACTGTGAATATATACTTTCTAATAAACATTTGTGCTTGACTATCTAGCTGGTGCTGATGCGGCAGTTTTATTTTGAATTTGCATCTGTTAGCTCCTTTATAACTGCAGTTTCTAGTTAGCCAAAAAAAAGCGGAACATTTGGATTAGAAAAATCTCACAAGTTCACATTAGATCAGATTTTGGACGTCAGAGGACTGAATTGAAATACTGAAAGAGTTGAGCTTACAGCTATAAACAGTATAAGGTATATATACTGTAGTACTTTTTATAACATCTAACTGCAGATTTTGTCCGATGGGTGACACGACTGTATTATTGTTATTTGTTATTAAGCCTTTATTAAGTGGTTACATCAATATTACACATGTAGAAGTGAATACATTTTTAATATTCGTCTGAGTATTTTATTTAAAAAGAAATGTTATTTAAAATAAGACTTAACATCAGGATATTGAAATAAAAGATAGATTCAGGATGACGTCACCTGACACTGACTAGAGGGGAAAAAATAAGTAAAAAATTTCCAGTGCATGTTTTTTTTTTTTTTTTTGAGGCAAATAAAAAGTTTCTCACTCACACATACAGTACAACTGTGTACAAGTAACATGTTTTGTTTTGTTTTTACAGCTAAGATAGGTTACAGGCACTGGAGAGTGAAGCATTGTGGGCGTTTGAGTGCTCACTTTTAGCTAGCAGCTTGGTAGAACGTCAGCGTCGAGCGCCTGAACCTGGTAACTTTAAATTCAAATAAAGAATTGTGGAAAGAAGGGTTGTACTGATTTAAAAATAATTTAAAAACCTGATGGTATTACAGTTAAACCAAATTTGAAGAAATTGAAATTGAAAAAATGTATTTACTTAAAAGCAGAAATCACTCATTTTTCTCTGATCTGATCTAAAACCTTCCATTTTATTTTTATTTGTTTTATTCGATCAAATTGTTTGTACTTGTTATTAAGTAGAGACATTTACTGTACTTTAGACCAAGATTTAAATGTCTGTATTTTATTCATCTCTGCCGATGACTCTTCATGAAGGTCTGTATCACTTTGAATCAAAGTCAAAGCTAATTTGATCTTTTTTAACAAATCTTTGTATTTTCTTAATAGAAATAGACTAAAAAATGTACTTGGAATATTTGTTTAAGTTTTGTAAAGTGTTTGTACCTACTTTTTTAAAATCAGGATTTTAATTTTACCAGTAAATTGCTTTTGTGATAATCACACCTAAATGTTTGAATGTTGTATGTTTTCATTCAGGTTTCCAGTATTTATTTATGCCTTGTTTTGATTCGGAGAACCTATTTTTTAAATTTGCAAATATTCAGACATTAGTTTTAAACTTCATTATTTCACTATTTGGCGGGTTTTACTGATTCAAACCTAAAATATTCTGAATGTGGTTTATATTGTTTTTGCCTTTAAACTGGACATTCAACATATTTTTAAAGTTTTAGTATTTTCACCTTTGCTACATATAAATGTGGAATACTTTTTGACATATATACTCAAACGTTGAAAATATAAATAGTGATTAAGTACTGTGTGAACACGTTTTAGTAACACTGAACAGATCTGTTTTAAACATCTTTCTCTAAATTCCTATTTGCTCTTGAAGGAAATATTTTTTAACTCATGTTTTTAATATGAATATAAAAATAATGTGAAAAAATGTCATTTAAAAATATGAAAAACAAAATTAAACTTAAAACCTCACTCAGTTAAAAAAAACATTTGGAACTTAAAAAAATGTGTTTTAAATATGAAATTTAAAACATTAAAAACTTAATAGTGTTTCAACTGTAGTCAGATGTGATTGATGTCATAAAAATGTAAGATTTTTCAAATGATCCGAGTGAAATTGTCACTCATTTCTTCTGCTAGCTAACCAGTTAGCATCTGTAACACGAGTGTCTACTACTGCTGTAGTATATAGACAGAGGCACAGATAGAGGAAGTGAAGGTGTGTTTGTGTCAGAACATGACATCACGTCCTTGTGGAATGAAAGCGCTCGTGTGTATGTGTGCGCACACGTGTGTGTGTGTGTATCAGTCGCTCAGGTACGTGTGCATGTAGATCTTCTGTCTGATCCAGGGAGTGAAGTGAGTCACATTACTGTAAACTCCTGGACCCAGGACTTTACTGAAGCAGACGCTGCCCCAGGACGTCAGGCCGAACAACGTCCAATGACCGCTGCTGTCCTCACACACCAGTGGACCGCCGCTGTCCCCCTAAACACACACACACACACACACACACACATATATGAGAGAGTGAACTTGTCTGTAATGATTAACTGTTTCAGTAGAAAAGGAGTCCAACGTCACCATGCAGGAGTCGACAGTTCCTGCGTCGTATCCTGCACAAAGCATCCTGGGAGTGATGGTCTTCATGTCAAAGTAGGACTGACACTGGATTAGAGAGATGATCCGCACCACCCCCTCCTGGAGTTTAAAGGGCACTGCATGCACACAAACAGACTGGATGAACACTCGTCTTCATTCTTTTTAAATGTTGCTTAAGGATTTGCTGTCACATCATAAAATCATGGAGATAAATTCACAGATGTAGATGTTTTGTTTTAACTGAATTGAACCATTTTTCCTTATTTTAAACACAATGTAACTTCTCCACACACTTCAAGCACATTATTATTAATGAGCTGCCATGATAACAAGTTCTAGAAACTAGTTTCAGAAACATGGATAAAGAAAATTGTTTTTTGAGTAAAGTCAACTCCAATTAGGAGTGCTCTTTAACTACAGTCTGTACGGTTTTATTTCTTAAATACAGCCAAGCAAAAGAATCAGAGGAAATTTTCAGAGCTACCATACCAACCCATGGTGCCACAATTCCAATAAACCACAAAGGATTATGGGAAATTTCCTTCAATAACATACTATTTTACCAAGGAGAATAATCTGGACCATATTTGGTTACTTTTGTTTTTCGTTATTTTCAGAACTCACTCCTGTTGCCCATGTGACCCCAGCCAGTGATGTAACAGTAGGAGTCAGGTGACGGCAGCTCCTCAGGCTGCGGCAGACACACAGGTCTGACAAACATCGTCTCGTTCACCTGCAGGACACAAACACGAGCCTCGTCAATTCTGTTCCCGTAAGCCAACTCGGAACATTGAGCATCAGTGACCACTGACCTCAGAGTCAAGCTGAACCACGCTGATATCGTAGTCCACCACTGCTCTGTTGTAGCGTGGGTGCACATCGATGGAGCGCACGCCACGAGTTTGACTGTGAACACCGGGGTGGTCCAGGTTGTTAAGGCCCAACACCACCTTCCACAGATCAGCGCTCTCCCTCCTGGTGGAGACACGGTGTAAAGTCATCAACCTCCAAAGGACACAGATCCACATTAAAGAAAAGTGCTCTAAGGCGTTATAATGACCTAGCCTACGGCTGCATCAGGAAGTATATTCTCCATGTGTTCATCACTCTGTCCTGTTCATCCACTCTGCCTTTCAAAGCCAGGTGACCAGGGCTACAGGCTACCTAGCTATGCCACCAACAATGTAAACCAAAACTATAGACTAGTATGAAGATAAGGCTTTCAAAATAAATCACATTCAGTACTTCAGAGAACCTTAAACATGTGTTTAAACCCACATCAAACAGTCACTGTGTTTCTGTGAGCCTACATCCACAGTGTATGTGCTACAACCTTCCTGTGACATCATCGGCCTCTCACCCTTCAAAGCAGTGTGCCACGGTCAGAGCCCAACGCCGGCCAATGAGAACACAGCCGCATACGTGTCCACTCTGACCGCTCTGCAGTGAGCACTGCCATGGCCACGCCCCCCGACGTGATACCCGACCACCCAGAATCCTCTTCTTTCTGTGGCGGTAGCTGTTGACTGATGGACGGAGACCACACTCTGACAGAGAAGAAGGACTTTTTAATGATTTTGTGAACAGGAAGACTGATTCACACAGACACGGCTAACCTGTTAGCTAGTCAGCTGCTAAACTAAAGATTATGAAATGAATCTAATTAATGAGAAGAATTGCAATTAAGTATAAATAAACAAAATGTTAAAATTAAATTTGAGTTATAGGACTGATTTAGCTAACGTTAGCTCTGGTGTCTACTGCCATCTACAGGCTTTGTACAGTTTGTGCATCAGCATTACAAGTGTTTCAGATATTAGGTAACAGAGAAAGCTTGTTAAAGAAGTGATTTAAACAAGTAGTTTACCTTCTCTGGAGCAAAGAACCGACACCCTTCTTCTGGAGTGACAAGCATGACTAAAGAAAAAGAGGGAAAAAAGAACTTGATTCAATTCGATTGATTCGATTCCAAACAATTCCTTCACTGCTGCACAACATTATAGAGAAGCTGACAGTGTGATAAACCTGTTCACATCATTTGCATAAAAAAAGAACAAGAGGCAATAAGCTGTGACGGTGTTTCTTAAGCTGGACTAGTTAGAGAAGCATTAGACTAATTCAAGGTCGGAACTCTGTGCCCAATGGGTTTTTTTGCCTCTGCCCTTGGGAACAGCTCAATCTTTATTCCAGCAGGGGGCGGTTTTTTACCTTCTCTTCTCCAGCCGGGCTTGCAGAGCAGAACTGTTCCTCAGGTTCCAGTCAGGATGGACGTGTAACCAGCGTCGACGGCCTGGGACTCCAGGCTGGTCAGCTACCATGGAAACAGAGGAGGGCACCCTGCAGAGACACACAGACAGGAAGTTCAAACATTATTATTGTTATTGCCAGGGATGAGAACTTCTGTGAAAGTTCTTTCCAGGGGTTCGGATTATTTTCAAGGTTAAAAAAAAAAAATCACAATAATTTGTACAAACATTTGGCTAACCTTTGGGACAAATGGTAGTTGATCATTTGTGAAACTTTCAAATTAAACTGTCAGCCATTCTGCTTTATACCATTTTTGGTTTAATGGTTATTAGTTTAATTTAACTAGGTCTCTTTCTTCTATTGACTGAGACTAACATCGTTTAACACTGAATGTTTCAGCAAACATTTTGACCTAATTGACCCCTTTTTCCTTATTGTTGACCTGGCCTTATAGTGACTAGATTTACATGTTTACTGCATCAGTTACTGACCTTACCCTAGTCCCAGCTGGGCGCAGGTCAGAGTACTCAGCTCATGGTTCCACTCGTCACCACAGACCTGGTATTCTGCCGCTGTCCTGAACACGGTCAGCACTGAACCGGATCGATCAGACAGAGACACTACAGAATGACAAGGAGACAGAGACAGAGAGAGGAAGACAGAGGTCAGCTGAAAAATAAAATACTTGGGCTGTACGGTGCCATGTGCTGCCCATTAAATCGTGTAAACAATATTTACTTTTTTCCTACATTTCCTAAAACACACTTTAATTAACTGATTTGTTGTAGTAAACATCCAGGTGATAATGCATGTCGTACCACAGTTCCACTCGTCGGAGCTGTCAGAGCAGTGTTTCTTCCCGTCACACCACAGTGTTCGATGAACGCACTGATGATTGTTGCAGGAGAGTTCGTTGTCTTTGCACTTTGCTGTAGAAATACACACACACACACACACAGAGAATCAACACTGAGGACAACAGCTGTGTTCAGTGGTTCATTATCTTGTAGAACGAGTAACATGCAAGTCTCACAGCAGTTGGCCTCATCCACCTGCAGGGGGCAGTCTGGGAAACCGTCACAGATCATGCTGGCTTTGATGCACACGTTACTGCCGGGACACTCCCACAGAGAGCGCTCTGAGCAGCCTGACAGACACGCACACACACACTCTTTTGTTAACCTGAGTGTGCGTCTTCATCACAAATATATTTTTGTTTTCTCGCACAGACTCACCACAGTGCTCCTCGTCGCTGTGGTCGTCACAGTCCAGGTGTCCGTCACAGCGTTTGGACGCCAGGACACAGCGACCCGATCGACACTTGAAGTGACTGGGAGAGCACTCTGTCACAACCAAGAACAACAAGAGAAATTAAAAACACTTTTTTTCCTTTTACTCTTTACGGTAAAGAGAGGACTGGGAGGAGGAGAGTGGTGTCTCTCCGTACCGTCTACACCCGCCTCTGGCAGCAGACAGGTGACGTTTCCTCCTTCTTCTGGAAACTGGCTACAGTCCGAGTCCTCAGGCCACTGCAGTCCCACGATGCCCAGTACAGACTCACACTTCTCCTTGGCGTTACGACACAGTGACCTGGGGGCAGAGATGTATGAACAAGTTTTAGGGGCTTAGTGCATGCAGACTGTGTGAGCGCCCCCTATTTTGAGACTCAGCATGAGTCAGGTAGGTTAGGAAATGATGTATTTATAATACAATATTTATAGTACAACATTTTACAGCTAAATCAAACTGATTTACATGTATATTCTCCAACACCAAAGTTCATAGAGAAACTCCTCCATTTTATATCACAGCAAAGAGGAGTTTTAACTCCAGTGCTGCCACCAAAAATTCTCTGTATTTTCAGTGATGGAATTTTTGTATTCAGATTAATGTCAGTTACTAAAAAAAACACAACAGGCAACAGAGCAGCAGTTCCTGTGTTTCCTGTGTCACCATGAAAGAACAACAGCAGTTTTCTCTAAGGACTTAGGTTAGAGAGACTAGAGTTCCTACTTTAATCAAGGTTTTCCCTGAAACCTTAACTTAGTGGTGAGCAGTTTGGCTAGCAGGCTCACTAACTAGCTGCTGACCTGCAGGGTGGGACCCTCTGCATAGTGACAGGGTCACACTTGGGCACCAGCAGTGTGCAGGCGTAGAACATGAGGTACTGGTAACAGCCAGTCTGGACCAGGGCTGGGAACAAGGAGGACTCCCAGGACACAGAGCTCTCTCTCTGGGACAGGTGACCCAGGTAGTTGGGGTACGTGGTCAGGTTGTAAGGAAGGTTCATGCACAGCTCCAGACTGATTGGTTCACATCGAGCTAAAAGAGAGGCGGAGTCAGAGAGTAGGCTGAGTCAGGAGACAGTGACAAAGTGATTGTAATTACACAAATACTGTGTCAGTGGAGTGGACACCAAAAAAACCTCACATTCGAAAATATGTATTGAAATAAAACAGTCAAAACTCACTGCAGTTACTGTTGTTGTTTCGTGGGTCACAGGTGGCGCTGCTGCCCACACATGCTGACGGACAGGAAGTGGAAATGCAGCTGGGTTGACCGGGAGAACACACACCTTGAGCTGGAAGACACACACACATGGGGATGGATGTGAATACAGTATGATGAAGAGGAAAGAAAGAGGGAGCATAAATAAGATGGTTGTGATGCAGACAGAGGTCTCACTCTGCTCTCGGCTGCAGTGTTCCTCATCACTGCCGTCTTTACAGTCGTCCTCACCGTCACAACGAAACGCTGATGGAATACACTGACCATTCCTGCACTCCAGAAGACCCTGACTCTTACAGGCTACAGACACACACACACACACACACATTAGCTAGAGATTGGTTAAAAAGAAGCTGAATAACCAGTGTCACGTTTTAATCAAAATAAATACATACAAAGAAAATAGAAGGTTAACACCAAAATTAAATAAATAAAGTACAATACAGCAGAAACAAGTCAATTGTTGGATAACTTTTAGATATTTCTTGTCCTTGGTGAACTCACAGCAGTTGAGCTCATCAGATTTGTCCAGACAATCGTGATCGCCGTCACAGAGCCACTCTTTGGAGACGCAGCGACCGTCACTGCAGCGGTGTTCACGACTCAGGTCACACACTGAGGTCCAAAGAGACATACGCAAGTTTGTTTGCAGACTTAAAGACAGACAGCTGTTGAATTCACTGACACAGCTGATCCCACAACACTGCGTCACCAGTTAGAGTGAGTGTCAGTATGTCTGTTCACTCTGTGTCTCTCTCACCACAGTCCATCTCATCGCTCAGGTCTCCACAGTCGTCGTAGCCGTCACACACCAAAGCTGGCGAAAGACACCGACCGGTTTTACAGCGAAACTCGACATCTGTACAAACTAGAAGAAAGTGACAGCTTTGTTAACTTGGCACTTTAGTCTGTAAATAACTCACCGAGCACCGTAACTAAAATCACTGATTTCTTCTACAGACTTTGGTCTGTGAGTTTAAGTGAGTGGTTTACAACAAAGTTCAATTTCCTGTTGGTGGCCTCGCTGAATAATCACCACTGATCCTAAATCTTTTTTCCTCTGTTGTTTATGTAGCTATTTGTTGTCTTTACTTCTGTTAGTTACTTCTACAACCGTGGCCATCCACCTCTCATAAAAGAGGGGGTGGGGGTCAAAGAGAGTGCGAGAGACATTAAAAGACAAAGGAGCACCCCTGTAGCTCATTCTTTTACACACTATTTAGATTGCACCCATCCCAGAATATTGTCAAAGGGTTTCCATGGCAACCGTGTCAACACTTTTTATGCCAGTTGCCCAGTTGGTCAACAAGTGGGGAACTTTCCATGATATTTACCAAGAACATCACGTGTGTGTTATTTAACCATCCCCTGTCTTCTTACATGTATGCAGTATAGTTCCAGAGTAATTTCATTAAATGCTAAAGCTGTCTCTTTGGTATCTTTTAGCAGCTTCTGCTCGAAAGGACATCAAACGTCCTTTAATTTTTTTCAAACGTCCTTTAATTTTTTTTTCTTTTGCTACATTTTGTCAACTTGTTCTTGCATTATCTTTTTGTTATTTGTTCATTTATGTTACAATGTTTTGATGTTTTAGAAGTTTTGAGTCTCTTTGTTGGCCTCACCACAGTGAGCTTCATCACTCCAATCGTCACAGTCGTTGTAGCCGTTACACACCAGCTTCTCGGGGACACAAATCCCTGTGGCACAAAGAAAGTTGTCCCTCCCGCCACACACAGCTGTGGACCAATCAGAGCAAAGCGATGGGAAAGTGATGTCACTGTGTTGTCACATCAGTATCTGTATCAGAAACATCCAAAACAGCGGTGTGTATTCACTCACATGGCTTTCCTTTGATTTGTCGGGGCATGTAGCAGGAGTGAGGGGCGGAGTCTGGTACGGCTGTGGTGGACGTTGTCGGTGAGGATGTTGATGAAGGTGGAGGAGGAGTGGAGCTCACGTTGTTAAACTGAGAACAACGCAGGAAGTCGGGCCAGGAAGCATTGAACATCTGAAGGACGGGCTCGCAGCCTTCTCTCGCCGCCTCGCAGAAGGATGCACAGGGCAGCACCACCTGTCTGTCAGAATACACTCGCACATGTTACACCAGGGGTTTAGTAGTTCTGAAATTAGAAAGCTGCTGATCCTTTGTTGCCTCCATCGATGAAAAAAATCGATGATTCTTCCAGGGAACTTTAACATTGAAGAGTTAGCTAAAATTGGATTTAACCCGCTGTATTTTTGCTGTTACCTGTTGTTGTGCGTGCCGTCAGCAGTATCGATGTAGCACTCAGGTAGCGCCAGCGAGCAGCCGAACAGCATAATGTGTCGATAGCAGGAGAGTCTGCTGAGGTAGCTGAAGAACCTGGAACCAGGAACATTAAAACAATGATAGAAAACAACATAACAGCCAAAATGGTTTGGTGACTTAAAAGATTGTCAGGAGGACAGTTAAAAATTATGATTTGCAGCAAAGACAACTAGGTTAATAAAAAAAATCATTCTAGCACAAAATATCTTTTACAAATAAACTAAAAGGCTTTGATAAATAGCTTAAAGGAGGCCAAGGAGATGACCAAAGCTTTGAACAGAGGTCCTCAGTCAACAAACATTAGCATTAGTTCCTTTTACTTTCTCCCACCAGTAAACATTAGGCTTGTGCTTCCGGCATTATGGGATGTATGTTTCATTTATTATTAATGTGTGTATGTCATTATAATCGGGAATCTATAAGCGTGACATTCTAGAGAGCGTGTACCTTAGCAGCATGTCGACTTCTGAACTCTTGACCACGGCAACAGAAGATGTCAGCCATGTTTGATTGTAGGGCAGCATGTGACACTGAGGCTCAGTGATCAGCTGACAGACAACTGCAAATTGATAAACAACAAATATCACTGTTTGCTTGTTAAAATCCAAGGCCTGAAAAAGGAACCTTTTCTTAAAAGCCATCCAGCAGAGGGCACCACAGTGCGTTTAGACCTTAGGTTTATTCATTATTAGTAAAAGAAGACATCATGTTGTTGGATTATGCTACAGATAATTTAGACAAATAGCTAAAATGAATGTCTGATTCTCTGTTAAGGGAAGGATTCTTCACTTCTACACAACAGCTGCTAACTTTTAGCTTTTTGTCTTAGACAGAGCTGATATGTAAAAAAATATACAAAATAAAATTAATCACATTAACAGACTCTGCATCACACAGCTCTGCAGCTAACTGTTGAGCTGGTGACTTGCCAGCATCCAATCAGAGGACAGGATTGGCTCATTAGCATTCACCTCAACCAAACAGAGGGACAGACAGAGAGAGAGAGAGGGAGAGAGAGACTTCAGAAGAGTACAGGAGCAGAGGCACAGTGACGAGGAGAATTTTAAAACACTATAATTTATCAACACACACACACACAGACAGTAGAGGACAGCAGAGATGAAATGTTCTCCTTCTTGTCTCTTCTGTTCAGACTAATACAGTTACAGAAGTGTTTGACAGAGAAGGACACAGTGAGACGACAGGACGTTCGGAGACAATGTGACGCTGCACTCTTTAAAGTGGGCGTGGTCTATGTTTGATGCCAGACGCACTTTGATAAAGTGATGAAAGTGGTCTGTTTCTTTTATATTTTGTGAGAAAAACGTGTCTGACACAACAGCACAGTGTAACTGGACGAGTCAAACATGTAACGTTAACAACATTTTAGCCACTGAATCAAAGACGAGGCTAATGTTAGCTTAAGTCGACAAGATCTGTGGAATATGTTCACTGTTTTATGTCACTGCTGCAAAGTATTCAAACTACACACCCTCCCACACTAAAATCCATAAATGACCTAAAATAAACAGAGATGTTGGTCCACTGCTGCCTCTTGTGGTCAGTTTGTGTTACTAAAGTTTATATGAATATAACATTTCAAACACTGAAGTAAAAAAAAAAACATCTGATCATTTAGTTCAATATAGATATATTCTCATCAGGGTTGTGTTGCTGATCTCTGACCCTCAGGTGGCACTAGGCAACACTTCCCTCAATATTCCTAAGGAGTTTGGTAGAGGAGAATGAGAATCGAGAATTTTTCCCCCATGTTTTCATTGCAAAGGTCACCTGAGTCAGGGGATGCCGTGGTGCTTATTGGCCAGGTGGAGCTCATTGATGTCACAGAGGTCAGCCACTCAGCAGTTGTTGTAAATGGCTGACTGGGCGTGGCCTGAGTGGAGGAAGGTGCTGGGAGAGAGGCAGTAGCATTAGGTGTGCTCTTGTTGTGGAATGCAACGCCTCTGTCATACTCATGGCTGTTGTGATAAGGTAACAAGGCTGTAACACTCCCCGCCTCAAAGGGGGAGGGGCTTGTGCTGTGGTTGTTGTCTGCGATGGGCTCAGGAGAAGGAAGGGGGTTGAAGTTCAAAAGACCTCTGCCAAAAATACCTGGGAGATAAGAACAAGAGTCACATTTTTGGTCCAGAAAACACTTCTCTGTCTATTTAAAAAAAGAAAAAAAATCTCCACAAATTAGAGGACAAAAATGGCTGAGCCAATGACACAAGAGCTCATTTAAAAACCAGTTGAGAAATGTTGTGGTCTAATAAATAATAAATGCAAAGAAAAAAATGTCAGTATCACACACAAGAAATAAGAACAAAGAAAAAAACATTAGTTCAGACAGCAGATGTGTGTGTGCATTTGTGTGTAATAAGCCAAAGAGGAGAAAACTGAAACGGCTGTAGACAAACAGATGTCTAGCTGGAGATGAAAGTAAAAGGAAAGGATAAGAAAAGGAGAAGACAAAGGACAAATAGATAAGTGGACAAGGAGAGGTTCAACTTTTTAGTAAACTTACCGATCCAAGTTTTTGGCTTTCTGATTTTTAACCCTGAGCTAATGTACGGTTAACTGTTAGTGCTATTTTTTCTTTTCAGGCACACCTGTGAAAAAGCATCCAGGCGAACCCTGTCAACAGGAGAGAGTGTGAAGAAAACAATGGGAGCTGGAGTAACAGGAGAGCCTGGACCATCAAGCACATGAGACAGTAAAGGAAGAGTAAAAGGTGTAAAAGGAGGATGAAGAATGGGGGTCAAGGGTGAAGAAAGGATGAGAGGGGACAAAAGAAGAAGACACTGATGGTTGTGTTATTTTACTACCCGTGTTTAAATATTTGAAATTCCTTCTGTCTCACTGTCTCTGATTGGCTGAGGAACTTTCTGCTGTCATGGTGACAGGAGGAGGCACAAAACACATGCACAGACACACACACACACACACAGACACAGTCATGTGACTTCTCCACCCACATACTCTCTCCATCAGGCTGTTCACATCCCTCTTCTTTAGCTCTTAAGCTCATTTAACACTCTCAGGGAGCGCTTCTTTCCAACACCATGACAGCCAGCGCCTGTCTCAGACTCATGATGTGATTTATACAACACGTGCATCATCTCCTCTTCATAAATCACTGGAAGGATGAAGACACAAGGGGGCGGTGACTTTTCACACAGCAGGGTGTTTTAAAGCCCCCGTCTCCTTACACCAAAGTCCATAGAGAAAATCAGTGACTTCTGTTCACAGGTATACAGGAGCTGCTGGTTTACTGCCACCAACTGGTTAGTTTGTGTTGCTAAGAATTTTATGAACAAAGGACATTAAATACAATAAAAAAAAAAGTATTTTTATTTTAGAGAAGCAGGCATTGATTAACAACTAATGTCTCCAATGATGTAAAATCAACCTTTTGTCTTAGTAGACATTAGTGTGTAAAAAAAAAAAGAACGTTTGTTTTCCACTTCCATTTTTCCACTAAAAATATCTACTTTAACTTGCAGGAAAACAAAACCTGCTTGTCAACTGCTGCCCCATGTGGTCCGTTTATGTCAGGTTCTTAAATTAGAATCAAATGTTTTACATACAAAAATCATAAAAGTTTTGAAATTGATAACTCCAAACGTTGTGTATCAACAAATCTCTGAGAAAAAGAAAATCACAGAATTTCTTAATGGACTTTTGTACAGAAGAGTAAATGATTTACCAGATGGAACCAGTTTAAGCATTGCATTGGAGTTAACACAACAACAAACTTCCTGTTTTAGGAAATTGTCAACTTTAGCCAAACTAGTTTTCAACGTCTCTTGTTCAGTGATGAAAACTGGTTCTTACAGAGATTAGGACTGTGTGTGTGTGTGTGTTGTAAGGTACCTGTGAGGGCCAGGACCAGCAGCAGCAGAGCGGCCAGAAGGCTCAAGGTGGGGATCAAGATGTAGAGCAGCAATCGCAGATTATTGGTCGATCCCAACTTGTGACAAGCCTCCCCACCCATCCCAGTCTCAGGTCCCTGGGCCAGAGTCTGGAGTACGCAGGAGTTGGTGCACGTGAGAGGATAGATAAATAATTAAGAGAGGAGATCAGAGGAGGAGCAGTGAAGGCTGGGTAACTCCCGACTGAAGCCGAGTTCACTTTGACCACCAACATCAACACTCACCCCCATCCTGGAGGTTATTTTTACCTAGGTGGGGAGTGGTATGTGAGTGTGTGTGCATGTGTGTGTGTGTAAGAGAGAGAGAGAGAGATGAGGGGGGAGTTAACCCGGGTGTTTGTGTCCTCTCAGAGTTTCCGTTCCATCTATTTTTACAGTGATATGACGATGAACTGACACCTGACACTGACAACAGGACCACTGCTGTGACCACCACTCTTTTTGCCACTCTCTCTTTTCTCTCTCTCTATCACTCACACACACACTCCCTCTCTTTATACAATTTCCCAATTGATTGATTGATTAGACAGGAGTGTTTCAACTAAATCATTTACACCAAAACCCTCAGAGAAACCACCAATTTCAGCTAGTTTAACGACAGCACTCGCTGGTTCACTGCTACCTTGTGTGGTCAATTTCTCTCATTAAGATAAGTATGAACGGAGGATTTTACACATCCAAACTGCAAAATCTGGACATTTTACTTCACTTTTGAATGCCGAAGTGGATCAACAGCTTGAGTGAGAAGTAAAACTAAAACAGCTTTGATGTTCTCGTGGATTTTGGTATGAAAGAGTGAGACTTGTATTTCCTACTGGAAAAAACTCAAATCAGAAGACCTTTGTCATTAATTATGCAGCATAGAAAAGATGTCCACAAAAAATGATGTTTATAATTTTATTTTTTTTAAAGAATTAATTTGTAACTATATTTTGACAGAATCCTTACATGAAATATGCAAAACTAAAACTTTAACTTTCCAACATAAACCTGATACATTATTATTAGGTCAAGCAAGTGTTAAAGTAAAGTGTTAGTAAAACAAATTGATTTAGTGTTAGGTTTATTTTCGCTGACCAAAAATAAACAGAAAAATCTACGTATTTAAATAAAAATACTAATAAACTTGTCAAATCAATGAATTGATTGGTTTCAGAATTTAATAAAACATGAATGAAATTAATTTCATAGAACAATATATACATTTATTATTATTTGTTATTAACATTTTAGAACATTTGTCTTTTACGAGATAGTTTCTTTATTTTGGAAATCCTACAATTACGTAAATATTTAGCCAAAAGATATTTCTAAACAAAGATTGGACAAAATAACATTTTAAAGAACTAACATCAACTTACTTGTTATTGTGTATTAATAATTTTAAAGCTATTAGTCAAGATAATAACATTGTCTAAACATTTTTTTTGTTTTTAAGATTCAGCCAAAACAGCCAATGTTTCTATCTTAACCCTTCTCGTGTAAAATTGTATACTTTTTTGTCACCGAATAAAATTATGAAAATTCAAATTACAATAAATCATAATTTAAATAATAACTAATAAATAATTAACACAGAAATGTTGAATGGTTTTCTAATTTAAACAGTGAGGTTGTAGTCAGTCAAAGCTTATGTGTAGATGGAAGTGTGTGTTACCGGCAGAATTATCAGAGTAAATTGTCAGAAATTAAACATTTTAAGAAGAAACGGCGACATTTAAAATTGAAACGAGAAACTTATGAGTGCTTATGTAATATAAGAGATAAAATGGCTGCTTTAAAGGTGAATTATGAGGAGGAAGACGAGACGGAGACAAGATGAAGGACAGGAGCTGAAGGACAAACGGCGGGAAACACACATATATATACATACACATCCAGTTGTACACACACGCTCGCACACACTCATACATCCATACGCACTCACCGTGCCGTGTCCCGCTCCTCTGAAGGTGGCACGCGGGCAGGTCCGGGGGAGCGAGGCCCTGCTACCTTGTGTGGTCAATTTCTCTCATTAAGATAAGTATGAACGGAGGATTTTACACATCCAAACTGCAAAATCTGGACATTTTACTTCACTTTTGAATGCCGAAGTGGATCAACAGCTTGAGTGAGAAGTAAAACTAAAACAGCTTTGATGTTCTCGTGGATTTTGGTATGAAAGAGTGAGACTTGTATTTCCTACTGGAAAAAACTCAAATCAGAAGACCTTTGTCATTAATTATGCAGCATAGAAAAGATGTCCACAAAAAATGATGTTTATAATTTTATTTTTTTTAAAGAATTAATTTGTAACTATATTTTGACAGAATCCTTACATGAAATATGCAAAACTAAAACTTTAACTTTCCAACATAAACCTGATACATTATTATTAGGTCAAGCAAGTGTTAAAGTAAAGTGTTAGTAAAACAAATTGATTTAGTGTTAGGTTTATTTTCGCTGACCAAAAATAAACAGAAAAATCTACGTATTTAAATAAAAATACTAATAAACTTGTCAAATCAATGAATTGATTGGTTTCAGAATTTAATAAAACATGAATGAAATTAATTTCATAGAACAATATATACATTTATTATTATTTGTTATTAACATTTTAGAACATTTGTCTTTTACGAGATAGTTTCTTTATTTTGGAAATCCTACAATTACGTAAATATTTAGCCAAAAGATATTTCTAAACAAAGATTGGACAAAATAACATTTTAAAGAACTAACATCAACTTACTTGTTATTGTGTATTAATAATTTTAAAGCTATTAGTCAAGAAAATAACATTGTCTAAACATTTTTTTTGTTTTTAAGATTCAGCCAAAACAGCCAATGTTAACCCTTCTCGTGTAAAATTGTATACTTTTTTGTCACCGAATAAAATTATGAAAATTCAAATTACAATAAATCATAATTTAAATAATAACTAATAAATAATTAACACAGAAATGTTGAATGGTTTTCTAATTTAAACAGTGAGGTTGTAGTCAGTCAAAGCTTATGTGTAGATGGAAGTGTGTGTTACCGGCAGAATTATCAGAGTAAATTGTCAGAAATTAAACATTTTAAGAAGAAACGGCGACATTTAAAATTGAAACGAGAAACTTATGAGTGCTTATGTAATATAAGAGATAAAATGGCTGCTTTAAAGGTGAATTATGAGGAGGAAGACGAGACGGAGACAAGATGAAGGACAGGAGCTGAAGGACAAACGGCGGGAAACACACATATATATACATACACATCCAGTTGTACACACACACTCATACATCCATACGCACTCACCGTGCCGTGTCCCGCTCCTCTGAAGGTGGCACGCGGGCAGGTCCGGTGTCGCCAGGACAACATGACCCGCCGCTGAGCGCGAGACCATCGTCTGTGCGAGAGAGTGAGACGCTCCGGTAACTAACCGAACCGGAGACACGCTGGCTCCGCCCACTCCCTCTCCACCTCTCTCTCTGTCAAACACACTCATCTCTGTCATCACACATGGCTCAGGTGGCATGTCTACACGTGACATTCTGACAAGTGCATGCTGGGACACCAGCCTCATGGAAGCTGGTCTCAAATCAGAAGATTGGTTTTCAACTGTTGACCAATTCAGAATTTTTCTAGGGTCCCATATACCCTAAACAGTTGTTCTCAAACTATAGTATGGATCTTAGGTTGGGCTCCCCCTAGTGATACAGGGCGATCTGATCCACATCATCCCATTAGGATAAGAACGTTACTTCTAAAGATAATGAATACTCGCTGATAAATACTCGCAGGAACTGAGAAAATTGTTGTCTCATGTGCCATGTCTTGAAACTATTGTGATTGTTTGTCGTTCAGACATGTTGGGATATAAGTTTTGATGTTGTCGATGTGGTTCATTTGGTCATTGGTGTAAGAGTTGTTGCTGCAGTCCAGTCTATTGTGACACAGCTCACCACTGCACACAACCAACTGTGACCTCTGTTTTTAACCCATCACCAAAGTGAACAGTGGCAGCTTTAAGAACCAGGGAGCAGTGAGTGGAGACGGAGCCATGACAGAGCACCTCAGTGGGAACTTGGCAGCTGGTGGACTAGAACCTGAAACCTTCTGGATCCAAGTTCACTTCCTCAACCACTGAGCCACAACTGCCTAATAATATAAATAATTATTGTTAACTTCTTGTATTACTGTAGTGGTGTGTTTCCAAACTAAACTTAGTTACTAGTTGTAGTACTACATCATTGTACAGGCTGACAAATGTCTGGCGTTTAATATAAAAGAAAAAAAAAGTTTTGTTCTTGTTTTTATTTAGCTTTTCAAAAAAAAAGACAAAGAAGGAGAAGTACATTTTCAATTAAATGTTCAAACTTTTTCACCCCAAATAATTAAGGAACCAATCAGAAGCTCTCTGCCTACAGACTGTCAAAAAAGTGTTTTCTATCTAAATTTAACAAATGTCTGAATCAAACACACACTTAATGAAAAATCACAAGAGCGTTGACTGGAAAATAATGTAAACAATCATCACTTGTACAGACATGAAATTGAACATTTAAACTTTTGTTATTCACGGTCTTAGACTGTCATATTCAAGAAGTGTGAAGTGTGTTTACAGTCCACATAGACTGGGCCAAAATCAAGTCTAGTAATTTACAGATATAAGACAAAAACAGCCTCCCTCTTGTGGGTCTAAAGAAAAACAATGACTAATACTACATGTTAACAACCAAGACATTATTTGCAAGTCACATCAAATATAAACAATCATCACAGTAAACATAATTTTCCTTTTGTGAGGTTAACATTCCATACTCTACCAGGGGACAGTCTAAGCTTCTTCTTTCCACTGATTCCATAATGAAAATTCATCCAGCCGATGATGCAACACTATAACGATGCAACACCACCATTGGGGGCAGTTGAAAACTGGAAACTGCTAATTCAGTTATAAAAATAGTCTATTGTCCGATTATATGTTTCGATTGAAAAAAAATCAAACTGAAACCGAATAATTTTAGGTAAAACAAAGGTTTTGAGGCAAAGGGCTCTGTTCTCACGTGTTCCTGAAGACTGGCTAGTCGATCAGGTCTTGGTCACGAGGTAGAAAGCAGCTGCAGACAGCACAGCGCCACCCAGTGGCACCAGGACTAAGGCGGCACACCACCTCCACCATCTCCCTGCTCTGGCTTGCTCGTCCTCTACCTCCTCTCTCCTTCCCCGCTTCTTATTTCTCCGCCCTCCTCGCTGCTGTCGCTTCTCAAACGCCTCCAGCTCCTCCTAAACGAACAGAAAACATGTTTAAGATGGAATCACAGAAAAGCCTGTGGTGGATACTGAGCTCTGTCTCTTCACCTAATAGATCAAATAAAGTTTGTTTTACAGAAGTGATGTTTGTTGTGATTACTGTGAACTGACCTGAAGTTTCTTTTGCTCCTCCTCCTGAGCTGCTCTCTGCTCCGCCTCCTTTAGCTACACACACGCACCAACACACAGCCGGTAAGAATCTGACAGTATGTTTGTATGTGTGCATCTATGTGCATGTGTGTGTATATACATGTACATATATCTCTGTGCATGTGTGTCTGTGTCACAGTGTCTGTATTTGTGTGTCTGTTCTTACCTGGCTGACTTTCCTCTGCTGATCTCTACAGATGTCATCACACTGAACATCACACTGGCTCGACAGAGAACATGAAAATTCCTGCGTACATACGTGCACACACACACACACACACACACAAGCATGTTGTTAGGAACTATATTAAAAGTCAGTTTCTCTATTTCTAGTCTCTTTTCTCTGTTTCAGTCATTCCTGTCTGGTTCAAGTTATCCTTGGTACGAGGAGCAGCTGCTCTACGGTTTACCCCTTGGGGTGAATGTGTGTGTTTCATAACAGTGTTTATTTATCCACACATGGGTCTGTGTGTGTGTGTGTGTGTGTTTATTTGTACCTTCTTTATCCTCTTGCACGGACACCGCAGCTTCACCTTCTGCTGACATTTTTCCTCACACACACCTGGATGACACATCTGCTTACAGCGGTGACCACAGGTCAGCTGTGAAGACACACAAACACACACACAGTCTTTCATCTGTTTCTCAGAAACCAGCAATGACATCAAACATGTCTGAAAGTAACATGAGGGAAAAGAAAACAAACCTGCTCCATGTGTTTGTTTACAGACCTTCAGTGTGACTTAGAGGGTTGTGTAAAACTGACACACAGTCAGATTTGACTTGGCTACACAACCTTTCCAATGATTTCACACCATAGTCTACTGCTGCCAAAACTTGTTCAGATTGAATCTTAGTGACACATACTAACCACAGGAGGCAGCAGTGGACCAGCAATCCCTGCATCTTAATGAGGTTAGACTTCACAAATTTTAACTATAGAGTTTGGTCTGGGAGAGAGACACTCCTGACTCCAGCTGGACTACTTAGTTGCCTTATTCTTTTAAGTCCATTTACAAAGTGCACTATCTAATGTTTTTACAATTTCACACATAAAAGCCTAAAATAACACATTTAGTGATGGCCGTAACAGTGTCTCTGTGAGCTAAATCATTGGCATTCAATATGAACTTTGGTATGCTATATCTGTATTCATGTGAAGCTCTCTTCTATTGATGTTGATTTTTGAAGTGACGTGAAAAGAAATGTGCCCAAATACATTTGAGGAAATTGCTTTGCCTTCTTGTGTGTGTGCCTAAACATTCCAGTGCTGCAGCCACTGCAAATGTTTGTTATTGCAACCATGCATGTGTGTGTGTGAGGAAATGAAAAAGCTAAATCAATCCCTGGTGAAAGTATGTTTTGGTGCGTGCAGAAATACTAGGATGTCACAGACCAAAAACAACAGTTCTGATTCTGCTCAACAGTCTGTTTATCATTTATTAAAAAAAACATTTGGCTGTACTATGATAATGTGCTATATCAGATAAAGATTAATTGACTAACTAACAGCCTCTATATTAACTGTCACCGCTGCAGCTAACTGCCGCTTGACACTCGAGGCTCTTATCTAACAGTGAGATTTTAAATGACTTCTTATATTTGTTCTGTTTGTACTGTTTTAAACTACAAACACATTTAAATTACTGCTGGTGTCCTCCAGATGGAAAAAGACATGCTGTGTTAGCTCCAGTTAGCAGATTTAGCTCATATGCTAATGTCTACGCAGCAGTGCAGGCGTATGACATCAGGGGACTGTCTGCTTAGTAAATGGACGGCACAGTGTAGACAGTGTTGTTACATGTCAGTGCATTACTTTGAATGACATCATCTCTGTACCTCTTTTGGACACTGGTTGTTGCAGGACGTCAGCATCACCTTTGTCTCCTTATCAGCTGATGTCAACTTCCTGTAGAAGAACATAATTTGCTATGGTCATGTCATAAACATACAGTTATCTGAACCTAATTATACTCTTACAGTAATAATTAAGGTGTGTGTGTTTGTCAGCACTGACATGCACTCTACGTAAACCATGCTGATCTTGCAGTGACAACGTTGACGGATCATTTGGCCACAGGGCTGACAGTCCCCTGGGTGACAGCGGCGGGAGCAGGGGTGGGGACAGCCGGGAGGACGGGGCTTAGAGCAGGCTTTCTCACACACCTCACACTTCTGAGGAGGGAATGAGGGAATGCGGGAATATGAGATAGAGAGAGAGAGAGAGAGAGAGAGAGAAATAGAGAGAGAGAGAGAGAGAGAGAGAGAGAGAGAGAAGGTTAGTAATGGGTTTTAGGATCATCTGATGCTACAGTACTGATGATATCATCACCTTGTTGCCATCACTGATCAAGTGACACTCCTTGCTGCAGCTGTGGTTGCTGCAGGTCAAAGGTCGCCCACAAGGTCGTTTACAAGAGAACTGACCCTGGCGATGACAAGGCACTGGACTGACCTGACAGAGAATGAGACTGTCTTGTTAGTCAGAAATAGAGTACATTACGGTTTTATTTTTAGCAATAGTAGCATTTGTGGATGAAGCTGAGTTAAGACTGCTGCAGCTCTCACATGAACAGAAAAACAAAGGTTTTAAACTCTTATATGAACATTTTCATTTTAAATATCTTTAGACTGTGGTGTTGACAGTCCATAGTTAAGTAACTGAAAGTAGTAAAAATTAATGAAATATACAAATTTTTAAATCTTGCCCAGCAACACTATTTTCATGATAACAAACTGACACTGAAACTGACACTGAAACTGAGCCTCACAAGGTTTTGTCATCTATGATTAAAATGAAGAGGCTTGAGCTCATAAGCAAAAGGTAAGAAATGGAGACAGAAAGAGGGGGACAAAACATGACAAAATAAAAAAAGATATAAAGAGTTTGAGACAGAGAGAAAAACGTCTGAAGGTGAATCAGTGAGTTGAATATCAAATCAATAATATTAAGAGAGAGAGAGGAAGGGCGAACAGAGGAAGAGAGAAAGGAGCAGGGGAGGGGAGGAGAAGGACGAGATCTAACAGGGAGAACAGAGGGAGGGAAAGGAGTGGAGGATGGTGGAGATGGAGCTGGATCTGAGATCTGAAGCAGGAAGTGGTACAAGTTCTTACCTCGTGTTCCCCAAAACAGGCCCTGAAGACAAACACAACAAACATGTCAGCCTTTCAATGGAACTTAAACCCTGTGACCGATCAACTGCTCTGAGCATCTTCAAGTTTTAACTTCTAATTTTATATTTATTTATTACTTTGCTCTGTGAGCTAAAATCATTGATTTTCTCTATGGACTTTGGTCTGTGAGTTAGAAGTCTTTTCTTTTTTTTGTGCGACTCACGTAGGAATGGGAACTTGACACGGTGGACATGGCAGAGCTTTCTTGACAAAGGCAGGCTCAGACGGCTGCTCCCATGGACCTGCCAACTGCACCTGGACACAAACACAAACAGCCTTTATGCTAAGCAAAGCTAAGTTGCTGTATTTTATCAGTAAAATGTGGACCTCCTCCTTTACCTGCTGGGACTTGACCAGCACCAGGTCGTGGCAGGGGTTCGGACAGGTGTGGCTGCAGCCTGGCAGCGTCAGCAAACAAGGCTGCCTGCAGGGGGCGCAGGGGCCGGGATGGCAGCGGTGAGGCTCTCTGGTTGGGTGATGGCAGGATGGAGGAGTCCTTAGGGTACGGAGAGGTAGACACACAGTAAACACACACTTTTATGATCACTTTCTTTCCACTCACTAGCCCCATCAACAATGTCAGCCATGTTTGTTTCCTCCATTCAGAGACAGTTGTCTCAGTTAGCACGTTCAATGGTAATCTGAGAGATTGCAGGTTCAAGCCCACCCAGGGACGACATTAAGACTGCTGTAGCTCCTCAAATTTCTCTATTGTTGGACGATTTAGGGGATACTTTTTTCATTTTCTTGAAGGAAACTCCCAAGGAATCAACTAAGTTCTATCCATCCATCTGTTTACCTAGAGAAATCAGAAAAAGTTTGATTTGTTCTGTACACACATGGGTCACAAAAACACAGGTTTGGGTCACTTTAACCTGTAGTGTGTCTGTAAAGCTGTTTCATCACAGTAGTTGATGAGTTGTGCGTTTTGACCGTGACTTGAATTTAAAGACAAATTCTGGGGAACATGTCCTGGTGTGGACAAATAAAAAAATCAAAATGATGACAAAGACTATGATGATTCTCACTGTGTTTTAGTTTGTGTACCTGCAGGGTTCTTTACACCGTGGGGGCTTCGTGTTCCTCTCACGGCCACAGGGTACGGCCAAGACGGCGGAACCACAGGGGCAACGAACATCAACCATCTCTGGACAAGGGTAACAGCTGCCTGTGGGACAGGAGACATGGACTAAAGTCTATTAATACTGAAGCACTACAGTGGACCCCCAGATACAAGTCTAATCTGTTCTACGACAGCACTCTTGTCTCGATCCACTTGTATCTTGATTGCATTTTCCCCATTAAAAATAACTAAAAACCAAATCATTCATTCCAGCCCCACAGAAATATACTATTAATTAACTAGCTTAACCTCCCCACCTAAACATCAAAAACATAGATAATAACAAATATATTAATAAAATAAATTAAGAATAATTAAGAAAACATTTTATATTATTGTTATAAAAATGGATAAAATAACCCAGCAAGGCGCAGTGAGCGAGACAGTACACTAAGCTAGGAGGAGGATTATACAATATATATATATATATATTTATTTATATATTTTATTATTTTATTAAACACACAGTTTGTGACAATCTCGGCAGCTGCTTTGACATCAGATCTCGCAGCTTCTCCATGCCGTACGACTGAATGCATGCCAGTCCTGGGTTCAGCACTCGTGACTAGATATTTCCTCATATTACGAGGAAAATCTTGCAATAGTTGGAGACTCGTAACATGGAATACTCATATTCCGGGAAGCTCATATCTAGGGGGTCCACTGTACTTTATTTACAGATGTGTGTGTTTTTGTCCTGTCAGTGGACACTCTATTAAAATAGCACAGTGAGTGTTTAAACCCACTCAGCTGAAGGACAGGAAGTCAGTTCTGACATCACATCTCCGATGAAACTGATAAGGCTGAGTGGGCTGATGTGATTTTTATAGAGGCAGCTGATGGTGGGAGAGGAAGCAGCAGACCTCAAGGTCAAATGTTACAGGCTAAATCCACCAATAGGAGGCACTGAAAACTACTATCAGATTTAAACAATGAGAAAATGTTCAAGCTATGCCACAGTAAAAAAAAAAGAGTTTTTGCTTCTTGGGAAAAGAAAAAAACAACAGTTTCCTGTTGGTAATGATTGATTAGAGAGAAAGCAGAGAACACACAAACGGACACACAGAGTTATCTATGGCCTTCTAGAAAAGGTCGGAGCAGCCAGTCAGCACGGCTAAACGGATAAATTAACTTTAATCCATTTAGCCAAACAGGAGGCAGACAGGTGCTGGAGTGGACAAAAGACACAGGAAGTTATCAGATCCAGACAACACACAAGGTGCAGTGGTCACTTTTTTGACTTCCAGCTGTGACACTCAACAGATCACATCTGCCTTGGCTGATGATAACTAGAGTGGACTACAATTGACCAGTGTGGACAACAGGGGACCAGAGTGGACTACAATCAACGTACAAGTCCTTTAGTGAGCCCTTTAAAAGAACTCTGCCAGACAATAGAGGACTTCTAAAGACATAAGATCACCAACAAGTGGTCCTGAGAAGACTTTGGGGTACCCTTGTATAACAAGAGGACCTTTGAGAACATTGGTGGACCACACCATAGTTCAGGGTTCTTTAGGGTTCTAAACTAGAGGCTCCACCTGTTCATACACGTACACACACATCAAGGGTTACCTTGGTGACACACAGATGGACACTTGTGGTTACGACATCCCAGGGTTCGACCACAGCTCTGGTCACAGGGGGGGCAGTTACCAGGGCAACACTAAAACACAAGGCATGATGGGAAACAGGGAGTTAGAGTCCGCCATTCTCTGACATTTGCGTTTCTGTCTCAGAGCTGTGAGGTGACATTCAAATCTAATCTGTCTGATGAAAGGGAACCAGAAGGCAAATTGAAAACTGATGCCATTCACAGTCGACCTTCTCTTATCACTGTGACATTTCAACACAAACAGGACACAATGAGGAAGATGATGGTAATGGTGGCGCCTAAGATCACCACAGGTTCTGAGTCAACATCAGGGAAAAATAATGTGTCACTTTTAGAAGATTCTGAATGGATGGCCCAGGATGACGACCTTCTCTCTACCTTATCCTTCTCTATACCTTCTGTCTCACTCACTGACAGTCAAGTCTCTCTGCTTGTCTCCATCCCTGGATTCTATTGGCTGATTAGTGTCACATTAGAAGAGACACTGCCAGTTACAATTAAACACTCAGATAAAATCTAACAAACATTGCCATTTCATTTGTTACAGGTTTGTGTCCATGTGGAGTGAAGTCTGAGTCCACACCATGGCTGTGGTCCACCTAGTGGTCACCGCTATATTATAAGCAATGACATACTACCTTGGAGGTATTTTGTGGCAAATATTTGGCTATCATCCACTTTACTTTGAGCTTTTAATCATTGTTTCTTTATTTAATGATAGTTTTATTGATTCTAAAATAATGTCTTTTCCGGAGAGTTTTAATTTTCTAAACTGATATCATACAGGAGAGGATCCTAATTCTTTTTGGCTTGTGACCTCATTCTGACATCACAAATTTCTTGTGACCCCAGAGACTTTCTTACAGTCATGTGATCACAGCTGTCAATCAAGATGTGCTAGCTGAGATCATTTTATATAATGGAACTCGATTTATATTATCAAGTGGAAGCACACAAACATTTAAGATAGCATGTGTTTGATTTATAAAAAGAACAACCCCACATGGTGTCACGACCACTAGGTTGAAAAACACTGACCTAAGGCATAACAGACACTGTGTGAAACATTTTCATTCAAACATTTTCAATCACATCAACGGAGAAATGCGAGCTTTTGGTTCTGGATCAAATCATTATCAATGCAAAGCCACTTCAAACATCTCTGACTCTAAACCTTTCTACATCTCAAGGGTAAATGCTGTGTTCAGCACTGCCACAGGCAGCAGGGGGCAGTGTGCACTGACCTTTCTCCTACACTGGTGTCTCCCACAGCTCCTGGTCTTCGGGCATTTGGAGTCACAAAGATATTCTTTATGACACGGCATCAACTTCCTGTATTTACCACATCTGCACTCCTTCTCTACTTCCTGACACACAAAAGCACGAAGAGTTTAAGAATATCTATGAAAGTACTGTGTCACAGTGTGTGTGTGTGTGTGTGTGTGTCACCTGTCTGCAGGTCTCACAGCTCCCTCGGTGGCATCTCATTGAACAAGTGTGTTTCCCACAGGACAGACGTCGATCACACGTGTCACCACACAACTGCACCTCCTCTGTGCATGGCAGAGATGACTCTACATACACACACACACACACACACACACACACACACACCATCAAAACAGTTGTCTGGCTTTTACGCCTATATTTGTACGTGTGTGTGTGTGTTGTTCCTCACTGGTCTTGCCACAGGGGCAGCATCTGCTGACAGAGCGAGGACATGGAGGACAGACACCACTGTGACATTTGACCTCACAGGTGTGGTTTCCACAGGAGAGGATGGCGCCACAGAGCTGAAAAACGCACAAAGACACACACACAACAGGAGAGACACAGAAGTGTTTTAAAATAAAACAGAACAGAACAGAACACACAGTCACCTGCTGACAGTTCCACTGTGGACTTGCACATGGTCTCTCTGTCTTCTCTCTGCCACACACACACGGCTGAGCACTGACTTTAGGACAAGGAGAACACTCTGACACGCACACGCACATAAATCCACAAAGACAGACAGGTGAGAATTGGTCATATATGCACAATGATTTAGAATTAAATCGGTGTGCTTGTCTGTTGTGTGTGTTTACCTTTGTGACAGGGCTTTGTGCACATGTGCTGTCTACATGGCAACAGCTTGCCACACTGCTGCCTACATGACCACTCCTGAGCGAGAGACAGACAGAAAAGGTGACTGATGCAATTAAAGACAGTCAGTGATTAGAGTGTATGTGTGTGCAATGATGCCTACCTTGTTGCTACAGCGACGGGGGAGGGGCTTAGCTTTCAAACACATACAGGACACAGAGACCATCTTTGGACATGGAGGACAGGGACCTGAAAGAATGAGGATCAGTGCCTACCCATAATTCTGCTGGACCTTTACTGGTTAATCTGTCTGTCTGTGTGTGTGTGTGTGTGTATACCAGGGTGACATAGCAGGAGACAGGCATGTCCACAGTTTGGTTTCAGCTGCTTCTGACAGACTTGACCACAAGAGTGGGGAACCAACCAGGGGTCAGCAGGAGGATCCTGTACTTTCCCACAGTAGCATAGATATCTGAACACAACACAACATTTAATTGTTATTTTAACTGTGTGGTTTAAATCAATTTATAATTATACATGGCATCTATTTTCAAAGTGTGTCCTTTGTTTTTTTCAGTACCGCAGTTACTGTGAGGATTATGAAGGATGCTTTCTCTGCATCACACTAACCTGTGGGGCGTGGCGCTGGGAGAATACTCAGCTCGACACTTTGGACTGAGGAATAAAGACAAAAGAAAACGCTCTTTATCAAAAGGAAAAAGTTTCCTCAGGACACATGAGGACATTTTTGTCCACTGTGTTTCCTCACCAGGGCCAGGGATGCTGTTTTTTACCAAAGTCTTCATCAGTGACAGAAGAGACTAGAAAGACTGAGTCTCTGGCCCATTTCTGAATACAAGGCAGGTGGAAGAGGGAGAAGCAGCTGGAGCAGCTCCACACCTGGGAGACAAAAATGAGAGACATGGACATTAGAGTGAGCGGCAGTAAAAGTGAAGACAGAAAAAAGATGTGAGGCATGAAGACAGCAGTAGAAATAAGGTGTAAATGGGTGAGAAGTGAGACATGGGACATAGAACAACAAACATAGGGACATGTGGGACAGAGAAAACAGATATATCAATGAGCAGTAATCAATCAGGATCGGTAAAAACTGAAGAAGACTCTGACCGCCTGTGTCCTCTTAACGGAGGCGATGCAGATGAGACAGGTGAGTGCTCCAGACTGGAACAGGTCACTGACATACTGACCAGTCCGGACCAGACCTGTCACATCACCACCTGAAAAAAACGAACAAAAACAAACACTATTTTAACCACTTCGGTCTTTGACAAACTATCCCATTCCATTTCTAATAACTGAAGATGTTCCTCACCCATCTGGTCTGTGTAGGTAGTGAAGGTTGAGGCAAGGATTTTTCCTTTCTTCCCATCTTTCACATGGTCAACATCATTATCATCGTCATCAGAGGAGGAGGAGCTATAATGACTCTCCACCAATCGCTGGGCAGCAGCTTGGTTGGACTTTCTGATCTCCTCAAATTTGGATTGCACTGAAATAGCTGACAGTGGAGAAATCACAATAAACTACCAAGCAGCTGTAAACCCAGTAATTCAGTGACATTACTGTCAATGTGACCTCACCCTGCGGTGCTGACAGTTTAGATTCAGCCTCAGGCGCTGGACTTGCAGCAGTGACTACTTTTGATTGTACTCCTCTTCCTCCAGCCCACACTCCTGCAGGAGCAAGGTTGGGCCCAGGTCTTTCCGATTGTCTTTGTGAAGGTTGAGACCTTTCTCCTTGGCTGTTGTGGCCACGGCCACGGCCCCTGCCCTGTTGACGCCATGCTGGCTCCATGGAAACCTCTTCTGAAGTCCTGCAGCCACATACAGGGCCTTAAGTGAAAACACTGGTTAGAGATGATCACATTTTCAAAGGCCAGAACATTCTAGAAAGTCACAGAAAAACGTAATGATGACAGGAGAAGTAGTTGATATGTCTATTGTCCTGTGTCGTCAAGAGGTGACCTTAATTTGACAGATTTCTGTAAAATGTCCAAAGATTTTTACCAAATTTCAGACGCTTGACAACAAGTCAAGTAATTTGCTTTGTTCTTAATTCATATTAGAGTAGAACCTATCAACACACTCTTGTCTTGTATATTAGGGGTAAAACCTACGGGTCTGAAACACTTAAACCCAGTTTATACCCAGTTTCATTCAGTTCTTGTAAATTTTAGAGCTGACACGATCACTTCATCAAACTGGTTGTTAGCCAGTTAGCATCAGCACGTTCACTGTAGATGAACTGCAAACAAAACTGAACTGCAAACAAAAGTTTATTCAGAGTTAGGACAGGTTATAACAGAGAAACACGCACCGGAAGAACTGAAGCTTTAAAACTGAAGACAAAAACGGAGACAGAACTCGTTAAGAAGCCTTTTAACTGCAACTTTGGACCAAATCACCAAACAGACAGAACATAACAGCTCAGCAGTTGAAGAGAAGATTCAAACGTCACACAAGCGACATCACACAGGGCATTACGGGACATGTAGTTCGGTTTAAAGGTTAGGCTTCTACTTTCGTCTGCGTATAAAACTACAACTCCCATTATAAACAGCGACACACATCGGGCAGTGCGACGTGTCCGTGACAGAACTGACCGAACTTTTTTTTTATATTTCATTTTGCTCTTATTTAAGATTTCTTTCCGTGGATGTTACATGTATGTTATACGACATTTTGTGTTAAAATACATTTGTATTTATGTATTGTGTATTTTAATATCAATTAATAGATTTGTGATTAATTGCATTTTTATTGTTGTATTATTATTTCGTCCAATCATAAGAGTTACATTTAAACTTCAGGTATTTCATATATTTATTTTAATTATTTCCATTCCGAATATAATTTATATATTTTTTATAGTTTAGTCAATGTTTGGCACTATTTATTAAACCTAATACATTTTTGGACCATTTACAGCATCAGCATAACAAACATTCATATGCTAACGTAAGTCTCAATTGTCAAGCAAATACATTTTATGGTATAAAATGTTGTAGTGAAGCTACTTCTACTATCGCCACTAGTTATACTACAAATAATGACAATAATACTGAATTTTTATGTTCTTTTTTATAAAATAATTTTATTTTAGCACAGCTTTAACAACATAAAAATGTGTCAGTTGTACAAAAGCTAAGTGTGAAATCCAGTGGATTGCTTTTAGAACCTCTTTAGAGTTAAGTATTTGTAGTATACTGCAAATACTGAAGCTTGACTGGTGCTATGAGATGACTTACAAACTACAAAAGCTCAGCTCTCTCTCTCTCTCTCTCTCTCTCTCTCTCTCTCTCTCTCTCTCTCTCTCTCTCTCTCTCTCTCTCTCTCTCTCTCTCTCTCTCTCTCTCTCTCTCTCTCTCTCTCTCTCTCTCTCTCTCTCTCTCTCTCTCTCTCTCTCTCTCTCTCTCTCTCTCTCTCTCTCTCTCTCTCTCTCTCTCTCTCTCTCTCTCTCTCTCTCTCTCTCTCTCTCTCTCTCTCTCTCTCTCTCTCTCTTTTTCTTAAAATAAATATATTAAAATTACAGGTTATTCTTACAGATATATTTCCAGTTGGCCACTTTTCTTTACTTCTTCTCTGTTACTGTGTTAGTGTCAGGTGTGTGTGTGGGGTACAGCCTCGTCTCGTCAGTCACCCACTGGTGATGGCGGCTGCAGTTTTCCCTCCAGCTTTGTGACCCTGTGTTTGAGTTTGTGGTGTATGGCTTCGTGTTCGGCCATCAGCCGAGCGTATCGCGTCAGCAGGACGTCCAGGTCGACGGTCATCCTCTCCACTTTCTCCTCCATTTCTTTGGGGTCAGGGCCCTGTGCTGCTACCTACAGGACAATACTGGTCGGAACTTACTTACAACAAAGGTTTGGTCAAAACACAGTTTTGACATTTGCAGTGCTATGACCATACCTCAAGATCAAGCAGTCCATCCTTCATCAGGATCTGCCTTCCCTTCTCCTCCAGCAGGGCCTTAGCATCAGGATACTCCTTTAGTGCCTCCATCAGGTCATCTTTGGAGAGACAGAATAGATCGGAGTAACCGATGCTTCTGATGTTGGCTGTCCTCCTGTTCCCTGCTTTACTGCCTGTTACGGAGAAGTGAATGGTTTCCACACAAACAGGGAAGTTTGTAAGTTAGAAGAAGATTTTGATTTTTTTTTATTTTTTTTATTGTGTAATGCTAAGAAACATGTTTATTAGATTTATTAGAATTTGGTTCTCATGGATATTTGTTTCTTAGAAGTCAGAAGTTTCTTGGAATGTAGGGACTTTAGACTTAAAGCTATCTGTAGATATAAAGCTAAAGCTGAGAAACATACAAACATTGGCTAACAGAATGAATATTAAATGTGTTCAACGCTGGATTATTATTTTCTTTTCCTTTGTCCCACCTTTAATAGCCAGGATGCTGATCTCGCCAAAGTAGCTTCCATCACTCAGAACCACAAACTGTGTGACCCCATCATCAGCCACCACTGCCAGTTTTCCTTCCTTGATGATGTACATTTCTCTGCCGATGTCGCCCTTCTTACAGATGTAATCTCCAGGACTGTAGACCTGAGGCTGAAGCTTCAGCACCAGCTCCACCAACAGGCCAGCCTCGCAGTCCGCAAATATTCTAACCTACAGGACGACAGGAAAGAAGAAGTTCTGGATCCTGGCTCCTATATTCAGCTGAATTTTGGTAAAAAAATTATTTTGTGAGTACCAACCTTCTTTAGCGTGTCCAGGTGGACGTTGATGGCAATTTCAGCTCGCAGTTTGTCAGGAAGGTACTTGAGCACCTCCCTTTCATCTACAGCCTTCTTATTGGTCCACAGGAAGTCAAACCATTTTATGACTCGCTTTTCCAGGTCCTTTGACACCTGCATCAAAACATTAGGTTACAATGAAACCGAAAAACCAAAGAGGCAATTATGAAACTGTCAAATAATCAACCAAATAATCACTCATTTAAATAACCAACTACTGACTGAACAATCAACCAACCAATCAACTCTCAATTCACTGGGACTGGACAGAAATTTACTGAGCAACCCATCAAAAAAAATATAAAACAGTCACTGTATAGTCAACAATTAAGCAAAATCAATAAACAACAAACCAACCAACCTTCCTGAAGGTCATGTACTGTTTGATGGCATCAATTCGAGCCTGAAAATCTGCTCTGGCAGCATTCATGTTGGTGATCATCGAACCCACATTACCGACGATGGTGGCAAAAATCAAGACACCCACCTGCAAGGATAGAATAGAATAGAATAGAATAGAATAGAATAGAATAGAATAGAATAGAATAGAATAGGTCACTGTTTGTTGTGTTTGTTTGAACTGAAATTTAACTAAAACCTTATAAAAAACCTTCAAGCCATAATCACCAGGAAGTCAGTGACAACAAAGAAGTACTCTGAGTTCTCCACAGGGGGCGGTGTTTCTCCAATGGTGGTGAGTGTCAAAGTGGACCAGTACATGCTGTAGGCATACTTTCTCACCACACGGCCAAACTCTGGATCCGACGGGTCGGGATACACAAACCTGTCCGAGCCAAAACCTGTAGAATCAGGAGCAGACATGAAACAACGAGGGCTTTTTCATTAAACCCTAGGATTAGCAGAAGACCATAGCCTGGGTTCATAATCACCAATGGCCTTGGAGAAGGAGTAGTACAGGCAGGCATTCCAGTGGATGATGATGACGATGTACATGACCAAGCTGGAGATTCTGAGAGCGTTGGGGTAGTTGGTTCTGGTCTCTGTCCTCTGAAAGAACTCCTGCAATCTGGAGGTGGGACAGATGTCTAGATATTATTTGACATAAAGGTGTTTAGCCTTGGGTGGTTGTAAGCTAACGGCTAACTTGACGTGGTGGTCTCCCTGTTACCCAGTACCTGTTGAACCTGAGGAGTTTATTGAGGCGGATCTCTGGGTATTTGAGGCCTACGATGACATACAGCACATCCGTGGGAATCATAGACACCAGGTCCAGTTTGAACTGGAAGCTGTTCATGTAGCGCTCACGAAGCTTCAGCTCATCCTTCACCAGGAGACCCTGCTCTAGGTAACCTGTACAAAAACATCAGAAATGGTGAAGACATGTCTCTGCGTGTCTCACCATGGTGCCAAGAGTTTTCATTTTTCTGTACCAGTCCTGGTTCTGAAGAACATGTCTGCAAGGTAGACAAGGTCGGCGAGGAAGTCCAGAAAAAACCAGTACACCACATAGTCAGACTGCAGTTCTTCAAAACTTGCCCTGAAAAAAGAAAACTTCAACGTGTCACAAGTCAACAGTGCATTGTAGTAACCCAAACCTGGTGGCCCACTGACATTGTCAACATTCATATTTGGTTGGGGTCCTTGTAAATGCCCAGATCTGATGACACACCATAGCACATTGTGGCAAATCTAGTAAAGAGGCCTCCTGAACTGTGGAAACAACCGGTCTGTAGACAACCTGTGGGAACCCACCCACAAAACTAGTTAGAAAACAGTTCCCTGCTGCCACGGACTGAACCTACATCTGGTTCCTGGGAACCCTAACCCTACTGTTTCCTTATAGAGGACAGAGGGTTGCCAATGCACAAAACCTTGTTGCCCAATGGCACCCTTGGAGAGGTTTTTAACCAGCAATAATACATAGATCAAAACCTAACAGCTGGGCACACGGCCCTGGTTCAAAAGACCAAATCAATGTTCATGTTCATTGGCAGCTGGATAGAACTGATATTCAAAAGACCGTCAACTAACAGACTTCACAGTTGGTCCTCTAAAGGCCCAGGCAACATGAACTTTGCTAATAAAAAGGTTTGTGTGTGTGTGTGTGTGTTAGGCAACATGAACTAATAAAAAGGTTTGCGTGTGTGTGTGTGTCACCTGGCTATTATTAGGGTCCAGTTGTACATGACGGGGATGGTGATGATCAACAGCCAGTAGTAGTAGGTGTTTCCAGCTGGATTAAACACCGTGACCTCTTTAGGACTGAACCCAGGGACAAAAAATGGTTTTGTTTTTTTTATTTTTTCACCAATGTTCCTTTCTAGTGATGGTTCCCAACAAAACAAACTTACGTTTCTGTCTGGGCTTTCTTCTCCTTCTCCTTCTCCTTCTCCTTCTCCTTCTCCTTCTCCTTCTCCTTCTCTTTTTCCTTCTCCTTTAGCTTCTCCTCCTTCTCCTTCTTTTTCTTCTCCTTCCTCTCCTTCTTCTCCTGTCTCTCCTTTCTGGACAGACATAATTTAGGAGGAGACCCTGAATGTTTGAGACTTTCTAACAAACCTAGTCATAGTATGGAGACCAAACTTACTCCTTCTTCTCTTTCTTCTCCTTCTTTTTTTGCTTCTTCTCCTCCCTGTAGACACCAAAGGAACAGACATCACAGACATACTAAAGATGTGCGTCTACCTCTCACCTCTCCACCAGACAAACATCACAGGTGTTTTCAGGAGTGTGTGTGTATGTGTGTCATACTCTTCTTCTTCTTCGTTGTTGTTGCTGTTGTTGATGTTAAACAAAACTCCTGGCCCTGGTCTTTGAAGACTGAAAAAGAATCCAAACTTAAATTTTTTTTATACATTTTCTTGGAATTTTGAAAATTAAAATATCTTTATCTGTATATACCAATGACACAACCAAGATGATGATTCACACTCACCCGCTGATCCCAGGCTCTGCCTCCATGTCCTCTACAGCTGTGGTGGGCGGGGCTAACCCAAAGCTAGGAGGTGGAGGTGATGGGGTGACTTTAGCCATGGCTGTGTTCTTCGTCTGTTGACACAAAGACAGACATCTGCTGTGGTAAGATCAGGGGATGCAGCACAGTCACAGACTTGCCCTCATCTATATTGAAACTCTGAAACTGAATGGGGTTTAGAAGGTGCAACAGTTTAAGACTTCTTTAAGACTTAAACTGTGGTCACTGTTTAGGTTGGCTCCATCCAGGGCCCACATCTGCTTCTACAATGAGTGTCATAAGGGGGCAGTGGCTCGCTCGTTAAGGAAGCAAACTTGGGTGCGGAAGGTTTCATGTTCAATTCCAGCTGCCAAGTTACCGCTGAGGTGCTCTGAGCATGGCACGGCCCTCACACACTTCACACTTCCCGGCTGCTCAAAGCTGCCCCCTGGTGACGGGTCTTCAGTTCAGAACCAGAAACACAGTCAGTGATTCTAATTCTGAATTCTCCTTCTACAGATTGGAACCTTCAACCATCCCTTGACAGTTAAATTGTTATTGTTATTATTATTATTCTTGTCGACCTCTGCATCAACCCCTCCTGACTCACCTGTCAGTCGATAATCTGTTCCCTCCAGTTTCGTGGCCTAAATCCACAAACTGTCCATCAGACCCACTGCCATGAAAGCAAAGGGACGCACACACGCGCATGCACGTGAACACCCACACCACCAGGAGTCAGGATGAAGTCCTTCAGAGGTCCGGTTCAATGGAGAAGCGAGGACAGAAACACCAAAAGGATGGAAGGAGGAGCGACTGATCCAGGCGAGGAGTCTCCTCTGTCACCCTGACACTGATAAAGAGATTAGAGCAAGAAAGTGACACGCACACACACACACACTCACACACACACACACTCCTCCTTCTGATTACTAGACAGGTTTAATAGGCTTAACTAAGAAGTGCCTACACTCTGGAGTCAGTCTGGAAGAGTCCCGACCTGGTGATTAGTTTCAATAGTAAAGCTTTGTTTTTCACACGGTGGCAGAGTGGTCAGTGCTGTTGCCTTACACCAACCAAAGCCCACTGAAAATAAATCTGTGATTTTAGCTCACAGATGAGACCAGATTCCAGGCTGCAGGGGGCGCTCAGCCTGCCATCAAAGCTCTTCCTCTTGAAAAAAAAAAAGAAACTTTATTTTTGTTAAAAAATACAATGTAAAATCTAAAGTGAGACAAAGGGTGTCACAGAGAAACAGCCATGGTGAGCGATAGCGAACAATGACCAAAGATGGAAACATGAAGATGATTGTTCATGACAAATTTACACAGTATTGTTAGGTTTCAATCTTTCTAGTGTACCTTCCTCCTTCTCTTCCTCCTCCTCCTCCTCCTTCATTTTGGTCATCTCATCGTTGTCTTTGTCTTTGTGGTTCAACAGGATGTCTATGTCTGTGGTAGGGTTTAGCATGAAGCCAGAGCTGCTCTTCCTCTGTAAGTAGAAAAGAAAACATATTGAAAAACACAACATATTTAGATTAATTTAAAGGTTTTTAACTCAAAGCACTGTTGTTAACAAATTGGGGGTAAAATCGTTTAAATTCATTTTAAAAATATCAGATTGAAATTGATAAATTAAATATGAATTTTCTTTGTCTTTTAAGGGAGACATGTTTGTAAAAGTTATGTTTTTAATTAATCGTTGAATATTAACATTTGTTTCTTTGTCCTTGTTTCTTGTTTTATTATGGTAAAATAGTCTTTAATCCACTTCAACAGAAGCTTAAAGGGATCATAGTTGAACAGTGAATTACCTTTAGTTAATCAGGTATTTTGAATAGTTTTTGTGTTTTTTCAGTCTTGCTGTCCACATTCACCTTTGCCCAGAGTCCTGGTGAGTTGTCAGGCTTCAATTTTCATATCAAGAAAATGTTACCGCAGCATCCTGCCGCTGTTTTTCATTTCCTTTGAAAAAAAATGTGTAAAAGCTGCTAAGATTTAGTTGCATGTTTCTACATTCCACCCTGTTTTGCCTGTTTGTTTTGTAATCGGTCTAGTCTGGGTGAGACTGGTTCCAGACAGGTCACAGTTCTTTGAGTATGAACAGGCATCTCTGAGCTGTGAACACCAGAGCATGGAGGAGTGGACTGTGTGGAGATACACCACCAAGAGGTTGGTAACCCTAACACTAGCCCCATTCACAATTTGTAGGAATACAGGAAAAAAGAGTTAGCCAGCTTTCATTACACGGTTGGTATTAGAAGACTAAAGGTTAGCAAATATCAAAATCAGGCTGTGCAATGATGTGGTTTCATCGAAGACCATTGATTGAACAAACCAATAGTCTTTAAAGGGCTATGCTAACAGTCTTCTTTTCTTTAGTCACACTAAGGTATACATGTCAAACCCACGGCCCAGGGGCCAAATGTGGCCCACCAAGCCGTTTTGTGTGGCCCACGTCACCTTGAAAAGCATTTAGTAAAGTCCATGGAGCAGAGTTTCTTAACCTATGAAATTATTATTTTTTTTAATTACACAGCAATGAACAATATTTGTAGCTTGAATAAATAATAATCAGCTGCAGAGACATGTGTTAGTCTGTTATGAAGAAGTTACTTCTATACCAGTGAGCTCCAACCAAGGACTGGTCAGTCAGTACCACCTGTTACTACAGACTGGTACCAAGGTGCTGAGCATTGAAGGATCATTACATTTTCAAAATAAAACGTCTCTTAGACTCTCTTCTGTTTATTTTTTAATATTGCCAGATTATCTTTCAATAAAGAAAGCAAATGGATATGACTGTGTTGCACTGAAGTACCAAATCACCTATGGAGTGGAACTGGTCCACGGACCGGGGGTTAGTGACCCCTGATCTATACAGTCTTCCATTTACAACCGGCCCTTCAAGGGGAACTGTGTTGTTGATGTGGCCCCTGGTGAAAATGAGTTTGACTAAAGGCTTTCTTTGTGCAGTTTGCAAATGTCACAGTGTGGAGTGGGCTGGGGCAGCCAATCATCCTCCTCCTGTAACCTGGAGACACTGAAAGTGCCAACCACCGGGGTTTACTGGTGTGAGTCCAGACTGGGAGACAGTAGCAATGTCATCAACATCACTGTCACAGGTACGAGCCTCATGACAATACAGCGTAGTTGCTGGGCTTTACATATCTAAGATCAGCACTGCTGTTTCTGGGAAGGCTTACCAGAAATAACACATCGTCATATTTTTGGTTCATAAATACAAGTACCTATATCAGTGACGTCATTGGTTGGAGCCTGTGTTAGCATTTCATGGTAAGAGGGGCTAACTTCTATGCTAGGTTTGTGTTATTTGTACCATAATTCCATCGATGAACATTTATATTTAAATATGATCATTACACCATCTGTGCAGATGAACCTGTGATCCTCCACAGCCCCGCTCAACCTGTGACACAAGGAAGTGATGTCACTCTAAGCTGTAGAACTAAAGGCACGCTCAGCGGCCAGTCCATATCCTTTTACAAAGACAACGTTCTGCTCAAGACGGGAACCATAAGTCACATGACCCTTCATCAAGTCTCCAAGTTGGAAGAAGGCGCATACAACTGTGAGGTTGGCGGCGTAGGCAACTCTCCGTCCAGCTGGCTTACAGTAAAAGGTCTATTTCACCATAATTCATCAAAGATTATCTTAATTTCTGGATCTTTTGCTGATATTTTGGGATAAGGTACTGAAGTAAGACCTATTTTTTCATGGGTTTTAGCCAGATTTGGCAAAATGTTTTTATATTTTTGACTTATTCTTTGTATTCTAATCATTGATACTCCTAGTGACTGTTTGAGAAACTGCAGCTGACTTTGACTCTTTTTAGCCACAGAAGACTTGCGTCCTCCGTCTCTCGTGGTATCTCCTGATTCGTCGCAGTTTGCTGAGTACGAGAACCTCACCTTGACTTGTGTGGGCGCTAATGGAATCATCGGGCACTGGAGTGTGAAGAGGTTCACCACTTTTACTAAAATACTCTCCAGCTGTGGGGTCAGATGGGGCACACCCACATCCCAGGGCTGTTTCCTGCAGACACTCAAACAGCCGGACAGCGCCATCTATTGGTGTGAATCATGGCAGTGCCAACGCAGCAACTCTGTTAACATCAACATTTATGGTAAGACAGAAGTTTATTTCCCATAAAAATGACAAAATTCCCAACACCAATAAAAGAAGGAAGATTTCAATTTAAAATCCCACTTCAAAACACCATCCACGCATTTTATCTTGCCCGCCCCCTAGTGGCAGCTCACGCACCCCAAGAGGTACACACACCATACTTTGGGAATCCCCAAACTTCTAAAGTATTTTTTAAAGCAGTGTTGAATAGCAAAGTGTGTGCTAGTTAGTATGGTGAGTTAACTAAAGTCAGATTTAACTATAACTAAGAGGTTAGCTACAATACAATAGTAAGAAGACAATAAAACAGCAACAGGTAACAACAGGTTAATCATTTACTTCAACATTTAATTTGCAGATAAGAAGTTAACGCTGCGTAGCCCCGTTCTTCCAGTGACAGCTGGAGACAATGTGACACTGTCCTGCAAAGCCACATCCCCTTATGGTCCAGCCTTGTTCTACAAAGACGGTTACCACCTCCAGACTTCGCAAACCGGTCACATGAACCTTTACCGTGTGACCAAGGCTGACGAAGGCGTCTATAAATGTGAAATCAGCGGCAGAGAAGAATCTCCACCGAGTCAGCTGTTAGTCAGAGGTTTGGTTACAGTCTTGGAACCAGTCGGTCGCTGTTGTAAAAATGTTTTATGTTGAAGGGGGACCATGTGGGACGGGTCGTTAGGTCATTAGGTCACCACACAGTGGTATCACATTCTGATCAGACTAGAGCAGTTATCAGTTTGAGGCTTTATTAACAGCTATGTCAAAAACAGCAGGTACCAAAATATATTTGAATGGCCTTCGTTATTTGTTATGTTTGCTTATTATTTCTGTGGACTTCCAATAGTTCAGCGCCTGGTGAAAGTCTGTGTCTACAACAGTCAATCTGAAGAAAATTTAGACTTGTTTTTTTTTTATTTTCATTTTTCAGCCCACGCTGCAGCATTTAGATCAGCTGTCTCTGTCTACACTGTGATTCGCTGGATCCTGGTTCCTTTTCCATATTTGGTCTCCACGCTGCTTACGCTGTACAAAGTGAAGGGTGTCAGACAGAGGCTGTGCACATGGCACAATAGTAAGACTAAGTTCAGTCATTTAACCAAGCCACCAATCAGTCACCCTTCAATGTTCCACTGACTAACCAATCCCGACCAAATCCTGCAGGAAAAACCAGGTCAGTTCCTGTGATCAAGGCCCCGCCCACTGAAGAAGACAAGCGACAGAACGAAGACTACGAAGATGTGGAGTGTGTCACCACTGAACATCATTTCTGAATGAAACTTTATATCTTGGCTCATTATTAAAAATCATGTCAGCTGTGCCCTGATTGGTCGCCTGCAGTTCATTACAGTTGTGACGTTAACTTTGTTAATCTTCGTGGCTGTGCTTTCTTTCTTTGAAAAGTTTTCGAAATATAAAAATGTGGGCAAAGCCAAGTGGAAACGAGAGGTTAAAAGTCAATGTAATTATGTCTTTCACAATTTTGAAAATCAGTGCTTTTAGCTCACAGACCACAAACCTCAAATGGGGAAAAAGGAAAAGTATGGTTCACTAAGGTTTGTTTTAACAGTAGCGTTCACCAAAGGTAGATATTTCCTTGGTTAAGTTTTAGTTAACTTTATATCAGTATCATTTTAATATTTTCTGGTGCTGTATATGTTCCTTTTATTTGATCTTAAGTTTTTCCTTAGATCTCTTTGATATTTTTGAGCAGCAAACCAGCAGCAAACCAGGAAAATCAGAAGAACCACCAGAACCAAAGCACCAACTATGGCCAAAACCAAAACAGTGAAGAAATGAAGTGGAGGAGTGTTTGGATTCTCTAAAGGATAAAAGAAAAAAGTATTAGTTTAAAAAACTCTTGGTCATTGAAGTAAATAAGAGAAATTTGTCCGACCTTTGACCCTAATCCAGCTGCTAGGAGACTCACCAGTGCCATTAATGACACATCTGTAGAAGCCTTCATTGGACTTGAACATGTTTTGAATGATTATGAGACCTGTGACATCAGGCTGTTGTGACCGCAGGATGGTGTTGTCTTTGTATAAGACAGCGTCTCTGTTACAGGCCTGTGTTCTTGTTGTGCAACACAGTCTGATAGCACTTCCTTCTGTAACAGGAACGCTGGGGCCTTGCAGGATGACTGCTTGATCTGACCGAGAGACGGAAACTCATCTGAATCTCACATACAGCAGACACAGGAAGTGGGGCAGAAACACCAAACATGGGGGGCAGGGGGGGGCTCACCTGTCACAGTGAGGTTGATCACCATGCTGCTGGCTCCAGTCTCCGTTGACTCACACCAATAAACTCCACTGTCCATTGTGACACAGCTGGACCCCTTTAAGTCTCCCCATGCATCACACAACTGTCTGGTCTCCTCAGACATGTTTCTGAACAGCCTCCACCCAACGGAGTCTCCATCGTCTTCATCTCCACCATCAACTGCAGAGCTCAGAGACATTCTGCGTCCATGAAATATCTGAACACTGTCAGGGCTCACCTTCACCACGGCTGACAAAAAAGAAGAAATGAATTAGGTCAAAGGAAACAGCTGCTGATTCACAGCTGTCCCCTGTGGTGAGTTTGTGACCATGAGGTAACTACGAACAGAAGACAGTGAAGTCAAATTAGCGATGGACGCAGCAGTAGAGGTTTAGAGACATCCTCTATGGACACTTGGTGTTAAAGAGACAAAGAGGAGTTTGTTTTACTTAAAAATTCTGTGAGGATGAATTTTTCCTAGTATTTCTCTCTCATGTTCTTTAATGCCTTTAATACCACTGCGCCACTGCTGTAACACTTCCACACAAGGTTTAATTCCTGGCCCAACATAACACACATGCTCCTTTTTTGATTGGTTGGTTGAACAGTTTGAACACTGACCTTGTTGTGAGCAGCAGGAGAGACCGATGACTTCAGCACTGAGGAAGAAAACGGCCGCATAAAACTACCCCACAGGCACAAGCAAGAGTTGGTTTAAAAAGCAGCATAGAGTAACTCAATCTATAATAAATATATATATTAAAACCTCTGACCTAGGCAGGAACATACTCACAGCTGCTTTTATTTTCTTCTCATTAACAGAAAACAAAAAAGTATAAACAGATATTTTATTATTCAAAAAATCTTCAAGCAGATGCCACATTACAAAATATGTCATTTCTTCCTCATCAACTTAAAACAATATAGCAATCAAGTGAATTTAAAACAGAGAATAAGAGCACGAGTTTAAAGGACACTTTTTATTATAGATACGTACAGATAAAAAACAGCTGTAGAAATACATTGACAATCGCTACCGTGCTAATAAGCATGACTAAACACTTCCATTTAAACTTGGCAAACTCTGTGCCAGCAACAACACACTGATGTTTGTCTCCATGTATGAGTCAAAAACGACAATATTTTTAAATGTTAACAATAACCAAAGAAAAAGTGATATTTTCAATTATTATTTTTTCCACACCAGAGCGAAAGAACTATGTATGTACATGGATTATGTTTTCAATTATTTTTTCCACACCAGAGGGAAAGAACTATGTATGTACATGGATTATCAAAAGACCATAAACAGTGGTGCAGAACTTTTCTTCTTATTTATTGACAAACAAATTATACTTTAAACAAGTGCAATACAGGAACCTTTGTCTTAGCTTAGAAAGTCATTGGCCTTGGACTTGAAACTGGCCAAAGTTTCCTGCATCTTCTGCACAGAGGCTGTGCTCTCTTCAACAGTTTTGGCGCAGACGCGCTGCACCTTACCTTGGAGATCCTCCAGGCATTTCTGTTACAGGGAAATGATAGAAGTCATTGTGAGCAAAGAAAAGAGGGAGATGGAGGTGAATAAAGTTAAAGACACTGATTGAGAAGAGCTGGAGCGATTTGTTGAAGATGAATGGACAGATTGTTGCAGGCAAATCGTCAAATGTTCTCTAAAACCTACTTCAAAGGCGATCCCTATTACACTTACCTCTGTGACTGATAAGTGGTTTGCAGTGGTAGTAAATATAGATGCCAAGTTGTTGGCTACTATTCTCCTCTCCTCACTGGTCTCCTGTAGAACAAGATGGTATCTGGATAGGAAAAAAGAAAATATAGAAAAACAAACTCGATCGTGTTTAGACTGATCCTTCAAACCAGTTATGTAATTATTAGGACTTGGAAAATTAAAATGTTAGCTGTGATTATAGAGTTATGAAATTAATCAGTTTAAATTTAACCACTAACTTGAACAAAAGGTGGATGACAATCACAGTACATGCACCAGATCTAACGTCCACTCTCTTATCTCTGGCACTAATACACAGTAATGCAATGCAAAAGTTGTTACACAGTGGAAATAAAAAAAACAAGCATGGGCTTAAAATGCAATCTCAACGGCAACCTGTTTGTGGTCTGCCACCCAAGTTAAATCAGACCAGCCTCACTGAGCACAGGACAGTAAATAAGTATAGAGCTAACAAAAAGACTGACGACTGATTAATATCCTTTACTTACTGCTGTTGTGCTGCTTTCTGCTGCTGCACGGCCTGATCATAACCATAGTTGACTTTCTGCTTCAGCAGTTTACAGTGGTCTTCCACAGACTCGATTTCTGATGCCCACTCTTGTTCCTCACGGGACAGTTCCTACAGGTATACACATTCACACACACAAAACAGAGCAATAGAAATGACAGTGACAACACGGTTTTGTCAAGTTTGCTTGTTTGTATTTTTTTTAATCGTATGGACGATTCTTCAAAAGAAATAATAAAAAAAAAACAACTAACAAATAAAATGTGTAATAAGTGTGTGGTCATTTTTAGTTTTGTGGAGAGGCTGTGGAGGGTCAGTACCTGCATATCTGAATCCAGCTGTTCTTCCAGTTTACGAATCTGTTCCCTTAACTGCTTGAGATCGTTGGACTTGTCACATATGTTTGAGTTCAACTAAATAGGATTACAGACACAAAAGGAAATAAAACTTAAGTGGAAATCTGCAAAACACAAATACCAAAGAATCAGGAACATAAATGTTAGGTTTACCTCTTCACAGGATTCCTCCAGGCTGAGGTTGGTGTTTGTTAATCGACTGTTTTCTTCTTCCACGTCACTTACGAGTTTTCTCAGCAGGATCTACCACAAACAGCACTTTTCATTATTCAGCATATTGTCAGATTATGTTTTATTGTATTTTTTCCTTTGCCTTTATTTTTATATTCTTTTTAACCTGGCATTGTGCTGACTTACTGCAGATCAAAAACCACACATTCATTTAAAAAAAAAATCACATTTATATTCTATGCTTTAAAAAAAATCATTTCTAAATGTATAGCAGACTTCAAAACAATGGCAAACTGGATACAGTAGATGGATACAGTATGTTTTCAGTTATTGTTTATAAGCAGCATGTACCTGTATCTGAGCCTTATGTTGAACCACGCTGCCAACTCCAGATTGTTTGATGGTCAAATCATGACCACAGGAATTTTCTGCACTGACTGGTATCAGCTTCAGTTTGCGTGCCAGCTTGTGGTACTCTGCCACCTTAAAGTCCGCCTGCAGGAGAAATGCAACTAAAATTACAACAATATTTCTGGTGATATACCAACAAATGTGTATGTGTGTATATATATATGTATATATATACACATACATATATATATACACAAATATACAGTATATACATATATACAAATATACAGTATATATACACACACATATGTATATATAGCTTGTCCATCTTCTCCTGACTTACAGCTCCACAGTGAGCAGATAAACAGTACCTTCTCTTTCACTTTGGCCAGAGCAATTTCTTCGTTCCACTTATGCTGTTCAGCTTCCTCCAAAGATTTGGTGAGGCTGTCGATAGTCTGCTGGAGTTCATTCTTCTCTCTGTTGATCCTCTCTACATCAGCAGGTGTAAACTTCTGATTCTTCAGCAGACGCTGCAGTTCCTCTCGCTCATGTTTCAGGGACTCAAGTTGACTAACTGCAGAACAGGAGGATCGTGACAGTTAGGCTTTAATGAAATAGATCGTATATAATAAAGGCAACTCTTATATTGAATGAGGACAGAAAAACAATAGATTTGAAAATGTGTAACACTGATTAGGGTGAAGTCATATTGAGTTGCCCAACTTATTATTGAAATTCCAAGTTCATCAGCTACACCCAGAATCTAAATGTCAGTTTTACCTGTGCTCTCCAGCTCTTCATTCAGTTCAGCAGCTTTGTTTCGGAGGTTAACTTCAAATGACTCCAGGCCGGCGCGATAACTCTGGATTTTCTTCAAGTCGGCCTGGAGCTTTACTTTGTCCATCCTTTTAGTCATTAAACGGTCCTTTTCAGGAAAAAAAGAGAAACAGCAAATAATTTGAGATGTTTCTTTTGGCCAACAACTGTTAAGAATTTGTTTTGTCATTTTGTGACAGTGAAGTGTAAAAGCATTCCCAATGTTTAGCCCAATCACAGAAGTACAGTCAGAAGATAAATTGTAAGTCTTCGTACCGTCTGGTTTTCCTTCTCCAGACGTTCAATCTCATTACTGAGAAATTCATGCTTCTCAGCCAGTGACGCCAGCAGAACTTCATCAACGTTGTAAAGCTTCTCTGGCAAAACAAACACACAACATTATCATTTCAATATATTGTTTCCAGTTAAAGAGGATTTCCAGAAGTGATTAATCATTTTTTTCATATAAAAACTTTAAAATGTAGCATTTGGTGTATTTTTCTATATAAAAATAATACATTTACTTAGTTTAGCTAGGAATGCTTCATCCTCATCGTCATACGAATCAATGCCCTGCATGAACTTGGAGTATGTCTCTGCTGTGTAATCTGCAAAGAGCTGCAGCAGAAAGAGAAAGAGAAGAAAACACAACAATGATTAAAGTCCAAAATAATTATAGGGATGAAATATGATACAAATGTTATACATAAATATATATATATATATATATACACATATATATACATATATATGTATATATATGTATATATATATATATATATATACACATATATATATACATATATATATACATATATATATATATATATACACACATATATATATATATATATATATAAGTTAAGATAAAGTGAGGAAATAGCACACAATAAAAATATATAAAATAGTGTTTTTTAGCCTAGCCTAGCACACTGTACATTACAGACCATCCTCTTGATATTTAAGAACGTTGTTACCTTGTTATACTCGGCCCCTTCCTCAATGCTGTCACTGTCCTCACCAAAGTCACTGAAGAGTAGGTCCTGTTTACTTAAACCACAGCAGATCTAAAATACAGGGGAAAAAAGGATTTACCTACAAACATACCTTTTCTTCATTTCCGTTTCACCAGTTAAATTCATATAAATATTATTCTTACAGGTAACATCCTACTTCAGTGTCTCAGATGTTTCTCACCTTGACATTGTCAATTAGCCACATGAGAGCAGCCAGAGCCTGAGGCCACGTATGTGGAGCTCCAACTGAATACATGGAACTCTTGGAGAAGACGAAGGGATACCTTAAAGAATTACCAAAACAACAGAAATCAACAAACAGGTTTGGAAAGAGACACATTCTCTTACATTTTTGGAAAAGGAGTCCAAATACCTGTAACAAAATGTACACAGCATCTAGTTTTAATGTTATTGTTTCCTCATCTATGTTGTCGGGATAGTTACTAAAACAAACGTACGGTATATTTTAATATATACTAAACATAATTAGGTATACATATATACAATTTTACCTCAGGGACTTGAGCAATGCTGGGACTTCCTCCTCAACTTTTGAGTTGGGCATTTCAAAGGCTGGGTCTAGCAGACGGTAGATGAATTCAAATATCTTCACAAACTCCTTGGTGGAGGGCGACTGGAGGGTCTTGGCTGACAAAGTACCTGGGAAATTGTGTTCAATCAAGAACTGGAAAGACACCAAACAAAGAGAATTCATATTAAAATATATGCAATAGCTATATATTTATACTATGAAAGGGGGGAATTTACACAATTTGTGGAAATTCATGTTTTTACCTCATGCAGCTGCCTGATACACTGCTGAACATAAGATTTATCGTGCAAAGGCCTTGCATCCTTGATCTTTTCAGATCCTCCAAAACCTGACATCATGCTGTTGCGGGGCATGCCCACTCCACTAGTCCTGAAGAGAAATTATCAACATGAGAATATTTTTTTTCAATTTCAAATTTTTTTTCTGAATATCTTCAGGATAACCTGTTTGGTTTCAACATTCAATTTTGTAATTCTTACAATATTTATTAAGCCACCATCCTAGTCAATATTAGAATGTAAAGCAAATGAAAATTGGAAGCTCACACATTATTATTTCATACCTGGGACCAAAGAAGCTGGTTCGTTTTTCAGACGTGACTGACTGTGGTTTCGGGACATTGAGCTTTTCAAAGGGTTTACTGTCAACAAAAACCAAACTAGTTACATACAGTAATTACAGAAAATGCTACGTTGTATCCATTACAACCTCAAATCTGTGAAATGAAAGTTACTATATTAACTTAAAGAAAAAGTACATAATAAGTAGCTCATTCCTAATTTTAGGCTGTATTCTTAACACTGATTATTAAAACTTGTTTAGTGTAACGAACATTAGGTCACATCAGAAACACACAACTAAAGAAAACATAGCAGTATGTTTGCATAAAACAAAACTCAATGAACAACATCTAACAACAGGGTCATTCAAACCAACCTCTGAGGAGTTTGGTAGACCATGCTCATTCTGTTGTCTTGCACACGTAAAGGCAGCTCCGACTGTCGGCCAAGGACTCGACTCATCCTTCCACTGTACAGAGTTATTGTTATTTTTCGTATATAGACATAAAAAATAAATAAAAACAGACAACGATTAGATAATTGTGACAAAATGTATCTACAGAATACTGCCACACCCAGACATGTTTAATTACTAGATTTTTTAAAACCTTTATTTTTATTAGAGAGGGTTACTCGATTTGAGGGTAAAAATGTTCTGAGATAATGCATTTACTTATTTTAGAGGAGTTACTACGCTCAATCGTTAATGACCGTTGTTACCTATGTGGAAACGATGTCAAACATTTTAGCGAAGGTACAAAAACAGATTTTAAAAGTTATCTTAGCTCCGTTTCTACTTTGACGTTAGTCTTCTGACGTTAGTAAATCTGAATTTGACACGTACCGCTCCATATTTCGTCCGTAGAACCCCCAAAACGATTAAGTAATGATAAAAATGTGTAGCATAAAAATGCTACAAATACAAACTGAGAAGCCGCCTAAATACAAAATGCTGACCGGTAGTGACGTCACGAAGTACGACTAGCCATGTAGTCCAAAAAACCCCAATGTAGTTTAGAGCTACAGATACAAAAACGGCCATAAAAACGGATGTGTGTGTGTATATATATAAAAATATATATATATAAATATATATATATATATATATATATAAAAGTTGTTTTTTGAAAAAGTTCCTGCAGGCGCTGCGGGCGCTACCACCAAGCAGGGAGGGGCGGGAGTACCACCGCTGAGACAGTGACAGGAGGCGGGCGAGGGAGAGACGCGCTGAAGGAGAGAGGGGAGTGAAGACGCGAGAGGAGTGTGATGCAAAGATGAGTGAAAGAGAAAAATGTTTCTCTTTAAAAAAAAATATGAAACGTTGTTTCGGGGTGTATATAATTTCATGTTTGTTATTTTCACACTGACAGCTGTGTAGGATGTTAAATGTCATATTACTGTCTAAACTGAAGGAAAGTGTGTTGATTGCGTGCAAGTTAACGGCTTGGGCTATGTAACTTATAGTATTATGGCTTTAAGTTAAATGTTTACTGGGAAGTGTCTGCAAGCTCTTGGTCACGTGGTCATAAATTGTAATAGTTTACTTCTTAGGAAATGTGTGTTCCTCTTGACTAGATTGGAATCCAGGTAATGGATTTTGGTGACCATAAAGAGGGGACTTCCTAATCTAGAGGAAGTTTGGAAGGTTAGTGATTTTGTCCTTTGTCTGAACTGACATTTAACCACTGTGTCATGTAACCATGTAAAACCATATAAAAGAGAGCCCACCTAACAGGGGGTCAGTCGTCTCTAACAGCTGTATTAGACAGGAGTTAGGAGCGGCTCTCTTGGCCAAGATATTTCGAATAAATCCATCAAAGACAAACTCTGCTGGCTTTTGATTTTTCCAAATTATGTAAAAACTTGTACGACACAGCCGGGGAAACTACGATGGCTTTTCGATTATTTTTCAAGACAATGCAGTGAGACGACCCACGTTTGTTAATCTTTATTAGAATCAATGCAAAGCGATCAGAAATGAGCTTCATCAGCAGGGAGCGCTGGAGTTCAGTCCAGTTCTTACAGGTTGTGAAAAGGTGCTGGTGCACAGCAGGGTTCTGAAGAACCAAGGTGAGGGGCGTGAAGTCCAACTGTCCAACTCAGGAGAAGACAGTTGAGTCCACATCAGCCTAGAAAAGCTTGGTTAGTGTGTTCAGTCCAAATAGTTCCAGAAAATTTTAGGTGAGAAAGAGCAGATTACCTCCCCTAAGAAGAGTCTAAGCAGACGGTGGTGATTTTGTGTTTGGCTAGTAATCCAACACTTCTGACTTGGAGTTAGTTGGAAAGATGGAGTGAATCAACGCAGATTGATCTGGAGAACCCGATCATGAAAACTGATCCACAGATATCACTGAGCTGCCCTCCCCCCCTGAGGGTGTGGTCACTCCCCATGGCACACTGGGTAAGAACTGAACCAGCCACTGCCCCCAGCTGCTCCTCTGCTCCTCCTCCACATTTCTCTCACCAGCTACTTCTCCTCCTTTTACTTCCCACCCTCCAACCACCCACTCTCTTTCCTGCTGCCTCTGCGCTTCCTCCCCCATCTCCTCCCTCAGAATCACACTGTAGCGCTTCTTGGAAACCTGTGTTCTTTCTCTCATTGTCTCATCAGCAGGGACCCAGCTCTCCTCCGTCACGTCCCTCCAGCCGGCCACCACCTTATCTTTGCTGACCAGACGATACATAGTCTTTCTGTACACCCCCCTCTCCTCACTTCCTTCTTTTTCCTCTCTTCTCAAACCTCCTCCACCTCTTGGCTCTAGACTGACCAGGACTCTTGCCTTCTCTTCTCCTCCTCCTCCATCACTTCTTCTGACTTCATCTTCCTCCTCCAACCTTTGATCGCCCTCTCTGTGAATAAACAGAACGGAGCGATACAATGCCATCACTGCTCCTCCTACACCTCCTGTCATCTCCCTCTCTTCCCTCCCATTATGCATTAACAGCCTCATTTTTTCTCCAACTCTGTGCCTATTTGCTAGTGCAACCTTCAGAGGCTTGTACACTCTCTGGTGCCACACCGCCAACCTGACCGCGGTGGCTGCGATGCCTGCTGCTGATACCACACACAAGAGAACACATGCAATGAAAAGCCACAAACATAAAACCTCCGCCACCTGGACTTTCTTAGTGCTGTCATGTTCTTGGGCCTTAGAACCTTTAACCGCGCCCCCTGTGGTAACTTGGAAAATTGTTGCTTTGACAGTGCTGGTTGTTGCGATGGCCAAGTGCTTGGTTGTTGTTAATGGTGTGGTTGAAGGAACCATTACTGGTGTTGATTCAATGAGACTTGGTGTTGTGACAACCCAGAGTTCTGATGTTGTTGATGGTCTAGTTGTAGTCGCTAGTTTTGGAGCAGCAGTAGTTGGCATGTGGTCGGGGCCTTTAGTTGAATCTGCCCTCGGTCGTTGAGTCAGCTCAACAACGCGGGTGATGTAGTCGAGCCAGGACCTTGTGACAACTCGGTGATAATTTAAGGGAGTATCTCCGTGTCGGATGTAGAAGGCAGGAGCTGGGGTAGGAGGAGCTGATGTAGAAACCACAGGAGGAGGAGGAGGAGGAGGAGGAAGAGTCCTGGTGGTTGTAAGCGGGGGAAGAAAGGTTACTTCTTGTTCACTTGGATCCGAATCTGTGGAACACAGATTGGATTCTTTCAGAGTCAGTAATGCCTGGTGTTTGAGCCTTGGTGGAGAATCACACACCTGGAACAACAAAGCAAACATTTCCGTTTTCAAGCTAACCTTTTTATAGCTTCTTTTAGACATGTTTCAGATCTTTTCTCAACGTTTTATCATTACAATCAAGTAATGGACACAAATCTCACATACTTTCAGTGAAATAAAATCCACCTTGTGGTCCTGCACCACTTTTCTAATGGTCATTGAGATACTTTAAGGACCCTCACAGATTTAACAGTAGTGCTGGGGTTTGTTTACCTTCAACACTCGTGGTCCTAAAACAGAAAGTTAGAAGATTTAAGGAGTCTCACCACACTCTCCGCATCAGCTGTGAGGATTGGTCCATCACGGACATAGACATTTAATTCATTATCTACGAGGTATTGGTAAAAGTAACCCAGTGAGCAGGAACAGGTCCAGGGATTCGCTGACAAGAACAGATACGGCACCTCCACTTTTGTGCTGAACCAATCATCTGGCATCACTGCGATCTGAAATCAAGAGCACATTGACCTCTAAAAACAGCTGTTGTGACCTTTGTTTTTCTTGGGTTTAGGCTCAGACCTTATTAAACTCCAGGTAGAGGGTTTCAATGGCAGGAAGTGGGTGGAGCATCAGGGTTGGAAGCACTCTGATGAGATTGGACGACAGGTCCAGGATCTGGAGAACAAAATCAGGTTTTTTAAGGACTCGAAAAAAAAAAAAACTTGCTGATGACACAAGGGTCATAGATTTCTTCTTGCCTTTGTTGTTACATGCAACATGCTACTAATTGGTAATTATACCTCCAGTTTGCTAAGTCCAGCGAAGGTTTGGTTGCTCAGAGATTGAATGCTGTTGTTGTTCAGGTAGAGTTCAGTCAGAGCGGGACAGGCGGAGAAGGATTGGTCAGGGAGTGACGTCAGAAGGTTGGAGCCCAAATTCAAGACGGAGAGTGTGGGCAGGACTGGACCAATGCTGGGTACGACCTCTGGAACCTAAAGCCACCACAATACATTACAACAAAGAACACAGGAGAACACCATGATGAGTGTCTCCTGGAGCCACACCTTGTTGAAGGATAAGTCAATCTGGTAGATCTTGTCAAACTTCTGGAAGCTGGACCACGACAGACTGGAGAACAGGTTTCTGGGAAACAAGAGAACCTAAGAAGAGAAGGAATATATTTTTAGTTTCTTCCTAAACTCTGGTCGTCTCCAGTGTGGTTTCCTCCTGTCACTCAATATCTAGAAACTTCTCTTATCTTCTCGCGACACGTGTAGATACTCTCCGAGGACATCGAGACAGTGATGGTACAGTCTTAGAAGACTTCATACATATTTGTCATTACTACGACTACTTTTATTTTTATACTACACCAAATTCAATATAGAAAAAAAGAACTTTTTAGCAACAGAAACTGTCAGGCCCAAGAGTCTCCACCATGAGTTTGTTTTTGTTCATTTACCTTGATTGAAGGTTCAATTCCCGTCGGGATGCTGGTGAAACCTGCAGCTGTACAGTTCTCTCTCGGCCGATGGTCCTTGTCACGGTCTCTGTAGCAGCCGGGCACTGTTGTAACCATGGCAACGTGGGCCAAATGGTGTTGGAAGAAGAGTAGGATGAAGAAGAGCATCATGGGGAAAGTTCCTCAGAGCGCTGCAGCCTCAGAGTTAGAGCCTGAGCTGAAGGAGAGTCAGGAAGTTTCTGCTGCTCTGACAGGAAATGGTGAGAGTCCCACACAGCCAGGGCTGAACCGGGCTGACATTATGACGTTAGAAATAAAGTGAAGTCCATATAGTAGAAAGTCTTATACTGTGGTTATATTAGAATACAAACCGGGTTTGAAATGTCCAAATAAGCTTCAGCAGCTACAGTTAATTAACACAAAGGATGAATTAGTTTTAATCAACCTGCACAAGCAAAAAAACATCGTCTAAATCAGTGGTTCTTAAAAAATAAAAAGTTTTTATACTCTGTACCACCTGAGAAAACACCACCACAGAGAGATGATAATAAATGTTGTATTGAACATGTTAATTGTGCATGGTACGTTTCAGATTTATTCAATTGAAAATGTAAATGTGAAAATATGAATTTCCCCCATGTACCAATTGAGAGCTAAAAAAAGTTGAAAAGACTAACGCAGAAGAGATGGTTCCCAAGTTGTTGGTAATGTAGCAGCTGCTAACAGAAAATGGTGGCTATCTTAAAGTTGCTAATGTTATAGATGCTACACAGTGGTTGGGGTTAAGGAAAGTGAACTCCTTGTCAGTGTGGCACAGCTCACCACTGCACACAACCAAATGTGACCTCTGTTTGACCTCTGGCAGCTTTAAGAACCAGGGAGCAGTGAGTGGAGACGGAGCCATGACAGAGCACCTCAGTGGGAACTTGGCAGCTGGTGGACTAGAACCTGGAACCTTCTGGACCCAAGTCCGCTTCCTTAACCACTGAGCCACCACTTTCTCAGACACCCGGATGAATGACATTCACCATCTTTGCTCCATTTCTCCTGAAACAAATTTAAGGAGAAATGGAGCAAAGATGGTGAATGTCATTCAGTGCTTCACGATGGTGTTCAAAACAGGTGAAGAACCAGGAGGTGGGTCGTCTTTTACACAGTTTTATTGCCATCACTTTTTCTGCAGGTAGAGCCTGAGGTTGGTTCCTGACACAACACAACAAAAACAATACAAACAAGAGCCAACGAGGGGAGGACAATCTGTGATGTCATCAGCTGTCCTGCAGTAACAACTGTGCTGCTCTGATCACCCAATCCCAGGCCTAAAATTAGTGTTGAAAGCAGAGTGGGCGGGGCTTATTTGTGGAAGACGTTCCAGGGGGTTGTATAACTGTCACATGACACGCCCCTCTTCACAGGCTCCTCCACCTCATTTAACTGAACAGTAGCAGACAATGATAGAAAATGAGAGCAAATTTCATTCTTACAGTAAAACAAACTTTAGGTTACGTTTTAGTTTACGACATTAACACGCACACACGCACGCACACACCATCACATTCTCTCATTCACTCACTTGCACGATGACAGACACACTCCCCTTAGCAGCAAGAACCAATATTAAACAAAAGTTTCTTTTAAAATAATAATATTAATAAGTGATGATGACGAGATGACATCATAAAAGAGTAGATGGTGTTAAAGTAAGCAGAAAAAAATTAGAAAGGTAAAAATGAAGAAATTAAAAATAATCATCCAATCAGAGGATGGAAACTGGAAAAAAATGAAGCATAAAACAACAAATTCCCATCATGCATCTGGCAGTGGCAGATTGTCCTGCGATTAGTCGGGACAAAACTATGATGTCACTCTTCTCATCCGGCCAATCAGTTCTCTTTATGTCATCATCCTTTTCATTGTCTTGGCCATGTCCACCATCACTGGTGGAGCGGCCTAAAAGCTATTTAAGAGATTTTTTGAACAAAAAAATATCTTAAAATCACAGAGCACAAAAAAGCTCCATTTGTCAATTCCCACAATTCATTGTACTCCCTGTAGGGGGCAGAGTAGAAACTCCGAGACTTCCCCTAACAGTTAATGAATGTTTTTCCTGCAATGGTAGAAACTCAACTGCTCTTGGAAACAGGAAATGTGGTAAAAATCCTTCAGCAAAGTTCTGAAACTTTGGTAGTGTCATTAAATGAGGTTCCGCATGTAACTAATAAAAAGGTGTTCGCTGCTTTTGTTGCTGTTAAACAGCTGCTCGCAAAGAAGACTCTAGATCTTCAATACTAACATTAAAACAAATTGGCCACTTTCTATCACGACACCTTCATTTGTTGGGTTGGAAGGCGTTTTTCTTTTTCAAATATTCTTAGTTCTGATTTACCTCAGCTACACAGATTGGCCACACGAGGCAGTAGTGGACACAAGGCTCCCTTCTCTTTTGGAGCTTGAAAAGCTACTTTTCCCCAAAGACCACAGTGTGAAGAGTACATGTCAATAAAACTTTTCATCGCCATCATACCTATCTTACTAGGAGAAGCTGTCTTCACGCACCTTCTCCTTTTTGTGAGGACACATTTTAAGAAGCATCAGGTCCTTCAGTAGGGACAGGTCTGATGGTCTCTCAGCTTTTTATTAAATAAAATCAAAATCTCTTCTATATCACGTTTCACTTCCTTCAATGTCATTCCCCTCACCTTCAACGCCCTCTACTTCTACGATTTCCATAATTCCTTGCTCAACCAACCCTACGTTCAAGATAATCCATCACAATTGCATTACTAATGACGTCAGCTAGCACTTGCAGGTGATTTCCCTACGATTGCACTCGAGGCAGTGATCATCATCATCATCATCATCATCATCAATGCTATCTTAAAAATAGATTTTTCATAAAAACACTTCAAATATACACACAACACGAGAAAATGTGTACAAAAATATTCACGTCAAACATTTACAACCGAAAAAACCTCCTTCATCCTCGTCATTGCTTCTCCTCTGTACAGCAGTGCGTCTGACAGCTCTCCAGTAGGAGGAGCCGCAGAACAGCATTCTTTGGTTTGTAGCAACGGAGCATTCTGGTCACACAGGTAAAAAGGAAGGGTTTCTGAAGTGATGGTTGGTTAGCTTAGTGAGAATGGAGCTCCCAAATGTCCTAACGCTAACACCAGTGTGAGATTGTTAGCACTGACAGTAACAGAAACAGCAGGATTTTTGTGGAGATACAGCAACTTCGGAGCCTCATAATAACTTGTCTGAACATTGACATTGTGCTAACACAAAAAAATAAACAGGAAGTAAAGAGCTAATGGGTTAAGCAGTGGGGGCAAGGTGAATGAAGTCAAAATACCCTAAGTCAATAGGTGCTAAAAGCAGCTGTGATGCTGTGAAGAAGATAATGAAGGTTCCCATGCAACCCCAGTGCTGCCCGAGGCTAAGTTTATTTTTAGCTTCTTTTGTTAACACTTCACAACAAAAGTGATTATCCCGACAAACCATACTAACACATCCTACAATCCCTGTTTAACCTAACTAACTAGCCTAAACTAAAATAGTCGATATTGCAACCCAACAAGCTAACTAGTCTCTTAGTTTAACAATAGGTGGATTTAGTTAATACTATAATGTCCATTAGCCCCCCTGGCTAGTGGCTGCTCAGAGATGTCCAACACAACTCAATCAAACAAACATCCTGAAAAATAAAAACCAAGACAAAACAGCCTGTGGTGCTACAAATTATCCGTAGAATCAAATTACAAAAGGCAAAAATGTTACGTTTATATTTCAATTTGGATTTGGCCGCAGGTGAAACCCTTTCCAAGCTAAGAAGAAGCCAAACGCAAACACACAAACGTACTACAGCATAATTGCGACCACTCCCATTGTCTTGCAGCCAATCAGAGAGCTATGTGTCAAATGGGCGTGTCTTTGTTGTGTTTGAGGTCTGGTGCACTGAACTGGCGCCTCATCCTGGGTGGCGTGGTGAAGCCCCATCCTCCTGCCATGGGTGGAGGTGGTGGAGCGGCTACAACCAGCAGCTCAGGAGGAGGTGGACCAGGTGGCCCTGGGCGGGGCAAGCTGTGGTAGTTTGGGTGCAGCCCTGGCTGGAATGGTGCATTGTGGGGGTTGTAGTATGGGTGGTGGTGGTGGTGGTGATGGAACTGATGGTGCTGCCGTTGGTTAAACTGGAAGGTGGGGTCTCTGTCTCTGACCTCGCCCCCTCCTCCTGGACCAGGTGATGCCACCCTCCGTTGCCGTGGCCGCCCCTGGTGGTCCCCTCCCCGTCCTCCTCCGCCACCTCCTCCTCCTCGCTGGTTGTTGTTGTAGTCCCTGTTCCTGTGGGTGGAGCTGTCCAGAGAGTTGCGGCGGTGGCGCTGGTTCTGGTTCCAGCTGCGGTGAGGACTTGGGCTTCGCATACGAGGAGGTGGGGCCTGGAAGGGAAGGGGTAGAAGAGCAGGAGGTGGACCCTGATGAGGAGGCATAGCAGCAGGAAGTGGAAGAGGAGGTGAGGGGGAACCTTTACTTTCATCGTCCAAAAATTGCTGTCCTTCCAAAAATCCACCCCCTCCATCAGAGAGGCCCAGAGCCTCCAGGGCAGCATTTGCACCCCAGGAGAGACGGTGGGCGGGGTTACTTTTGAAGGGGAATTTCAGCTTTCGCTCCTGTGGTGGGATGAAGCGTCCACTTCCTGGGAGGTGAACAGGGATGATGGGTGTGACTTGGCCTGTAGGGGGTGACAAAATATGTGTAACATAGTCAGTTGGCCTCTTCTACTACCCACTCCTGTTTAGTCATTCACAGTCACTCATAGGCATTTCTGTCCCATCCCTTTCTGAGATAAATATTTTTCATGTACACTTAATACTTTTTGTTATGTCTCCTGTCTTTGCTTTAACCTGTTTCTATCACATCTTCTTTCTTATTTTATTTTTTGCTAACTTTTACCTGCTTCAAAATTCAACATTTTTGTTTTGGTAGGACATGTAACCAGGAACTCCTGCCACTGACCTTGGTTCTGGATTTGGTTCTGTCCACGCAGTTTCTTAGTAATGTTCTGCTGCTGCAGGTTGAGGATCCGCTGCTGTTCCTGCTTCAGCCAGCGCATACGCCCTCTTCGAAATGCCGGGTCCTCCTCCATCAGCCGCTGGACCCTATGGTCTGGAGGTTCACTGCAGCCCTCATCGTTGACACTACTTCCATCTCCATCTCTCTGGGGAGGAGAACCTTCCCCTTCTCCATTAACCTCATCATCCTAAAGAAACCACATCATGTTAGCATCGTCAAAGGCTGCAGGAATCTGTGCCTTGCTCTCCTAGAAAATTAGCATACCTGCACAGGTATGATGCTTTCCATCTTGATCATCCGATCCCTCAGAGCTTTGATCTCCTCATCCTTCATGTTGTTCTGCAGCTTCACCTCCTGAGAGAGTCAGAGCGACAGCAGAAACTTTAAGCCTGTGATGACCCCTACTGGTCTCAACTGGCTCACAGAGAGTAATAGTAGTTACTATTAACATTCATAAACAACAAGGTTAATATTTAGGTATAAAATCTTCATCATTTGACCCTTGAGTGACCCTTGACCCTGGTTAATAATCACTTTAGCCACTCTCACTACTTTATAGAAGCCTCATCCCTAATTTTATATTTCTTAAACAACTATCAGTTAAATGGCTGAATTTTATCAAGTGACTCACCTGGAGGATGTCAGTCAGTTTGTCGATGTGGGCCTTCAAGTCGTAAACCTTTTCTTTACCCGCTCCCTCCCCAGGCTCTCCTCCTCCTCCTCCTCCTTTCTCACTTCCCTTTTCCCCTCCACTCCCCCCTTCCTCCAGCGGGGGGCTCCGCTCCTCTCCAATGCCAACAGTATCACACACATCCTGGGACACGGCTCTCCAGCTTTCCCTCTCGTTGGCATCCTTCTTTGAGTACATCCGACAAAGCTCCTTCATTTTAACGATGGACAGTGCCTCAATCTCCTGACGAGAGTGACGAAAATCTCCCAGCGCCACCTGGTGGTGATAAGTTGAAAAACACATACATCAGACAGTGGAGGCTTTTCAAAGCATCATTATAATAATTAGCCTATAATTGACCTGTTTCTCTATATCTTGTCTTCTTTAATGATTTTCTAAAGTAACTCGTGGAAAACTCCTTGGTCAAGAAAATGCTAACTTTCTTAGTTCAGCACAGTGTCCGGTTTTAGGTTGGTTTTTAATTCACCTTAGGATCTGATAAAAAACAAATTCTAATAAAAAACCCACAGACCTCATAGCAGATCTCTTTGACAGCCTGCATACGTAGGTCCTCAATGGTGACCCGTTTAGGGTCTTTGCTGATCCTCCTCCTCTGAGGGATCTGGTAGACCCGCAGTGGTTCTCTCCTTTTCCCACTGCTCGGAAGACCACATCGTTTGACGATGGTCTGGACCTGGAGACACAGACGACGAGATTATCACTAAGTAAACTCTACACTTGGGGGCGGAGTTACAGCTGGTGTAGGTCGTGCCCACTCATGTGCCTACAGTACCTTGTTCGCAGGTAACTTTTCTCGAAGAGAAGAAATCAACCTCCAGCTCTCCTCACAGGAGCGTTTGTCAGAGTCATCGCCGCTGTCACTGTCTGCGTACTGAAGACAAACACAAACACAGAAATAAGTTTTACAAAGTCAATCACAAAGTGAGACTCAGCTTTATATTGATGGGCACAGGAACCCACCAGTCTGTGTTGCTCCAGCAGCAGATCAGCTTCCTCCTTCTCTTTACGATACTGAGTTTCCATGTCCTGTAGTCTGTACGACACAAACACACGCCTTCATCAGTAAATGACATTTAAAGACAGACAAGTCTCTCTCTTCCATGCCAAACTCCAATGACATGACGAGCAGTAGTTGCTGGTGCACTACTGCCACCATCAGAAAGTCCAAAAGTATTACTGTTAGAGTTTTAAATTCAGATTTAGCTCAGTGACACAAGCTGCCCACAGGGGGCAGTAGTGGACCAGCAGCTCAGCTGTATGTCTATTGCATGTCCATTTCTCCCTGAGGTTCAGAGGTAGACAGATCTCCATCACCTCTTCTCCATCTCCAGTTTGATGTCTATGCCCTGCTTCTCCAGCAGCTCCTTCTGGGCATAGTTCCAGTCCTCTGGCTCCTCCTGCTGCTCCACAGGAGCACTGCGCTCCCTCTCCAGCCTGGCCTGTTCCGGGTGGTTGAAGCGGAACACATGGTTCTTCCCCATCACAATGCGGTTTCCTGGAGACACAGACGGACAGATAGAGACATTTGTGTTTCTTCTGGGTGTTTTTTTTTTTTTTTAATGAACGTTGACATGTTCAGACTGACCAACAGTCCATTACCTTGTTTCAGGACGACTGCTTCGGTGATCTGCTTCCCGTTAACGTACGTCTCTGCTCCGATGAGCGGCTCCAGAGTGACCACCACTGCAGCCACAGGTTTTTATTATTGTCAACACAGCAGTCATGAAATGATGAAGTGTAAAATAAAACGGAACTACATTCAGAAAACTACAGGTGGGAGTTAAGTTTCACACAGACACACCTGAACAGAACTGTTGATTATCCACATGTACTCCTTTTCTGGTTCAAATTTTTACTATATCCCTTTTATTTTTTTCACTTCACATTGTAGCTATATTTGAACTTCTTTAACTACAGAGTGTTTCTGCTTACAGACAGGTTCTGTCAAATTGAACTTTTTTTTGTTCTGAGCTGCTGATGATAGCCACACACACACAGAGACACACACACACACAGACACACACAGACTGAAGGCTTGGGGCCAAAAACAAAAAGTTCTGATGATGAAACAGTAACAGTGACAGTTAAACAATACCTGACAAGGTATTTCCTGGAAGCTTTTACAGAGAGAAATAAAAGAGACAGAGTCACCTTATGACATACACACAGTCAGCACAACCTGCTGAGATACTGTACTTCACCACAAGGGGGTGAACGCAACATATCTAGACACACTGACGTTGAGCAGACAAAGGCTGACCATGGATGGAGACTTCCTGTTGGAGAAGTCAAGACTGCAAAGCAGGAAAAAGTAGCAGTTGACCACCAGGGGGCGACAATTTCATTTAAATTTAGTGACCAATTTAGAAGATACTGTGTATTTTCACATCAATACTTCAGGGTTTACTCAAATAGACGTTGAACTGCAAATAGCCATTGTTTATAACGTTGCTATTTGATGTAACAGGAAGACGTCATCCATTTTCATATACAGTCTGTTTATAAAAAACAAGCTAGAGAGAGAGAGAGAGAGAGAGAGAGAGAGAGAGAGAGGTCTCACCTTCTCCCTGCTCGTTGGTCTCACTGACAAAAACACAATGAATCTCTTTGATGAACTGTCCTGATAGTTTAATGTCCACGTCTTGTTGTCCAACTCTGGATATCACACAGACACACAAACAAAAACACACAGATGTTAACTCGGTCACATGTACAGTGTCAATGATGTCACAGATAGAACCAATTCTTTTACCTGGTGAATCCTTCTTTAATGTAGTAGAGAAGGCACTCTGACATCAGAGGGTCTTCATTCAGGTTGACCAGGTGAGGGGTCTATATATACACACACACACACACATCAACACATTAAATGTCTTAAAATACACATTGGCTAAATTATTTTAGTGTTCTGTCAGCATCAGGTTGGCCTGTATGTGGTGCTATTTCAGTACTTTGTGCTGATTACTAAATATCACTGGATATCGGACATTTACTCCATTAAATACACTTATACCACAGTGGTGTTGTCACAAGAACTGATACTTCGGTACCAACTAGATGCCAACACCAAAGAAACACATCGATACCATCAGTACCAAACATTCAACTTTTCCCTTGGAGGAAGTGATGGGGGTGGTATACAAGCACTGAGCTGTCAGCCCAGCCACCAAAGAAGAACAGCTGCCATTTTTTAAAAAATGGCTTCAGCAAGTAAACACATTTCTTTCAATTCGTATAAAAGTCTTTACCGAGGCTAGGCCAGGATAACCCTGCACTAATTGTACTCTTAACTAAGTATTCATATTGTGTATAGTACACATACATCTTTTAGACACAAAACAAACACACACTGTGTGTGTATGCATGTTTGTTAAGATGCAATAGTATTAAAAATACAGTGGGACTCACTCCTTTAGGTGAGAAGACACCCAACGTTCCTCCATCTTCCTTAATGGACACGCCCATTTCAGCCAGCAAGGCCTCTCTGGGAGAGAGACACAAACAGTAAAACAGGAAGAGAGAGAGAGAGAGGTTTGTTGTTGTGAACTGAAGGTTGGGTTTTGAAGCTGCTCTGTGATTGGCTGTTGGACATTACCTCTCCAGACGAATAGATTCGGTCTTCCTTAGTTTCTCCTCCCACGTCTCGTTCAGTTCAGCGATAATCTTCTCGGTCTCCTACACACACACACACACACACACACACACGCCCAGTTTCAGCTCTGAACAGATCCACAGATATTGTCCTGCTGCAGAAGTGTCTCTCAGATTTACCAGCAGTCTCTCAGCTGCCTCCTCTTTACTGATCGGCTCCGTAGCGTCCGCCTCCTCCCCGGACTCTCCCTCCTCCGTCAGATGGCCGGGGTCAGTAGGTGGGTCCTCTGAAGAGGTGGGTTCACCTGCAGCTGCAGGGAAAATAAAAGACATTTGTATTAACTGGTTAAATACAAGAAAGAATACTTTAAATTGTCTAGAAAACAGATAATGACCTGGTGGGGCGGAGACAATATTTGGTACGATACCATTGGACGAGAGAGCCAGCTGCAGGCAGGAGGGGGGCACACCCACAGCACTGCCTGGACCATTGATGTTGTCTACTGTGAGAACAGGAGAGAGAGAGACAGAGACAGGGAGAGAGACAGACAGAGAGACAGGGAGACAGGGAGACAGAGAGAGGGGGTGAGAGGTTTTACTTTTGTACAAGGAATGTTTGCCATTCTGTTTATGTGCAGAACAGATTGTAAATATCTGCGCGCACACACATACACACACCCTGAGCCACAGTTGCTGTGATCCAGAAATACCCGACAGTGTGTGCACCACACAGACATACCACAAATACCATGTTTACAGAAATGCGCACGCACACACACACACACACACACAAGCACGCACGCGCACACACACGCTGCATGACTACTACACCAAACTTGGAGACGTGTAATTTATGGGTATATACCACTTTAGTATGTGCAAAATGTAAACATACTACAGTATCAATAGGCTGTCAACTATAGTGTGGTGTACACAGTTAGATGTGTATATACCAGTGTGGCGTATACAGTTAGATGTGTATATAACAGGAAGTGTAGCTTATCCTCCAAATTGTGTTCATACCACTGTGTACATCTGAACAACTATATAATTGTATATCGCGCAAGTGACGTGTACGTACACAAGGGTACTCCATTGTATGTATGTGTGTGTATTACACGTAACTGTGTGTATACGTGTATCTGTGTATACCAGCGTTGTCCAGAAGTTCCTGCAGTCCCTGTGAGAAGAGAAGGTTCCTCAATCGTTCCACTTCCGTCTTCAGCTCTCTGATCAGTTTGGCGTTTGGATCTTCATTGATCACGGCGTTACAGCGAATCTGTTTGGCACGGTCGGCGTACCTGTGGTCACATGTCACACAGACCAATGAGATCTGAGAGAAGGAAGCTCTCTTTTTTATGTCAGCAGAATAGTCATCGCTATTAAGGTCAGGTAGGACACCAACTCCAGATCTGACCTGAGAGTGCTCAGTGTTTCTTCATAGTTGATGTCAGCAGGACTGAGAGCAGCAATCATGGCAGTCCGAGAGTTTCCTCCTGGAGGAAGGATCACAACTTCAATCTTTACAACCACTACAGACACAGTATAAGGGTACTACGAGGGATTGACCAAAGGCTCACTGAAAGTATCTGCTCCAATGGTCTTCAGGTTTCTATCTCAGAGCTGCTAGTAAAGCCCAAAGAAGAAACCAGGCTGAGGCTATTAGCAACATAAGCTTGGCTTAGCCTCAACAGTGTTCCTCATTCTGTCCAGGCTGAACTAAACAAATTCCAAATCTATTTGTTTAAAGTTGCATGAGAGATCTGTCGCATTCCATTGCTTGGGATTCACCATCATTTTGCAAAATTGGATGATTTCATCCAAAACATGCCAACTTCTTGCTGAGTTTGGCCAACGCTCCAATTTGTTTTAGGTCTGTGTCCAACACAAATAAAGACCAAACAGATTTCTTAAATGTTGTTGCTGTACTATGTATGTATGTATGTATGTATGTATGTATGTATGTATGTATGTATGTATGTATGTATGTATGTATGTATGTATGTATGTATGTATGTATGTATGTATGTATGTATGTATGTATGTATGTATGTATATATATATATATTTATTTATTTATTTATTTATATATAGTACTGATATTGTGAAGCCAATAGTTACCCAGATTTTCTTTCAGTAGCCAGGTGAGAACGGAGTCTCTGTAGGGAATAAAATCGCTTTTTCTCTTCTTGCTGCTTTGCTGCAGAGACCAGAAGACAATGCATCACAATTAACTTCTCTCTTCATGGACAAACAAGTGTTTATTTTTTGTTTTTTATATCTGTCCATAATCAAGTCGATAGACTGCAGGTAAAACAATTTGACAAATGCATTAAGTCATGTGATGTTGGTGTTCTGAGACAAACAAATTAGCCAACATTTATATCTGCTGAAATTGTTTTGCCTAGAAATAACACTTTGCTAAGCTAGAACATAGGGGGCGTTTTTTAGCCCTGTTTCCACTCACCATTTCTGCCAAAGCAGATATGACTTTTCCCAGCGTGGTCAGAGATTTGTTGATGTTCGCTCCTTCCTGAACACAAATAAAAAGTCAATTTTAATGAAAAAAATAAAAAGGTTTTACCTAATAACAAATCACTTTGTGAACTGTGAACTCTGACCTTTAGCCTAGTGCCCTTTGCCCCAGAGGAGTCCGCCCGCTCACTTCCTGCCAGGTCCACCAGACTGATCTTACTGACCTGAAGGGAAGTTTTATATCTTTAAAATTCAAATCAACACAAGTGAAAAGAGTGTGCCACACTCGCTGGTGTGAAACACGTAGTCCTCGAAAAGACTCGAGACATGAACACACACACACACACACACACACACCTTCTCCGTGTCCAGACTGGTCATCTGGTCCCGCCGTTTTTGGGTGAAGACAATAGTGAAGACGGCGTGAGACCTGGACGACGTCTCGTTCATGTTCGTGGCAGCTACCGTCCTGTTGACAAACACAACCATTCATCCTTTCCCAGAATGCATTTCACCTGCTTCTGTGAAGCTGGTGTGTGGACTTTTACAGATTGGCCTTCTGACACTGAAACAAGGAAGGAAGTAATGGTGCATTCAGGTTGCCTTGGAAATTCATTTAACCATGGACTCTACCAGTGCAAACAGGTTAGAAGAGATGTACCACAAACTCACCCTTGAGTTATAACCAGTGCTCCCTGAATCTATCAACCCCCTCAGTCTCTGATTCTTAAACTAAACGTTTCCACCGTACGTGGACATCTTCACCATCAGCCACAGGAAGTGCATTGTACCGAGCTTTGTTGCCGGCGTCCATCAGGTCCTGGATGTCATTGAAATCGGTCACGGCCAGTTTGGACAAGTCCTCCACATACGGCCCCAGGATGGGATGCTCTCGGACTCGCAGAGTCCCCTGAGACTTTGGGTTGAGCAGATCCCGAACCCGCTCACAGTAGATCTCCATGTAAGACACCTGGAGGTGGGTGTGAGGAGAGACAGGGAAAAAGGCAGGAGGCTCAGCCAATCAAAGATCACCATAATAATGGCTTGAAGCGGCGAATCAGAGCGGCTCCACTTTACCTCCACAGAGTAGGTCAGATCAGGATCAATGTTTTCTCCTGTTCTCTGAAACAAGTCCTCACAGAGCTGGAGACACAGAGCGTGTTCTTGGTCACTATCACAGAAACCCAACTCTGTAATCTACAGCTGATCACATTCATGTTGGCTCATGTTCACCTGTGGTATGATTCCCTCCTGCCCTGGTTCCTGTTTGCCCATCATGGTGTAGCTTTTTCCTGCACCAGTCTGTCCGTACGCAAATATACACACGTTATATCCTGAGGGGGAAACAAAATTAACATGTTTTAGGACTAGGTTACCTAGGTTTTAGGTTAGCAAGAAGCTAACAATTGTAGCATGGTAAAAAAAGGAAAGGAAAGTGAACTGCTTGTCACTGTGACACAGCTCACCACTGCACACAACCAAATGTGACCTCTGTTTTTAACCCATCACCAAAGTGATGGGAAGTGAAAAACATTTGAGAAATTCTTTAAGGCATTAAAAGTCTAGTCTCATTTGTTTAGTGTCTTTCAGTGCAGGTTTCTGCCCAGTGTCTTTTATGTTCACCTTCGAAGGCATGCAGCAGCATCTCCTCTCCAATGTCTTTGTAAACCTGCTTCTGTGAAGCGAAGCTGGGGTCTTCATCCTGAAAAGAAAAAAAAAGTTCCAAGTTAAAATCGAATTATTGTGGTTGTTTTAACAAACATTCACGTGTAAATGACCGTGTGCTATTACTGTAGTGTGTGACCAGTAGGAATAGTCAAAGGTAAAGTTCTTAATGCCATCTTTAGTCTGTTTGGGGTTGGTGATACCTGAAACCACAGAGAGAAAGTCAACAGTTAACACCAGCCAACAATGGGAATAAAAAAGAATCATCTGGAGTCATGATGATGACAACAACAACAACAACAACAACAACGACCACAACAGAGATCTCTATTCATAATCATTGTTCCACTTTGACATTTGACCTAAATCAATCAACCCAGACACGAAAGTAAACTCCACACACACACACACACACACACTCCACTGCTACTGATCTATTAATATCAGGCTGTGCGTTTGTGAGTGTAAATAGCAGCAGGTTCAAAGTCACATGACAGACAGCAGCATGCTGGGACCAGGGCTGGGGCCGTGTCATCACATGGAGACACACCAGTCAAAGTAAATAAAACTGAACTGGTTTGTCTGGTACAGAATTGCACTTGTGTATTTAACACCACCTGATGCTAACACTAAGAGAACAGCATTAACATGGTGTGTAAGTGTTTTGTCCTCACAGGTTGTGTTTCCCTGCATCTGAATCACACACTTCGCGTTGCGTCCGGTCTCTCTGGAGTTGAACGGACGCACTCGCACAGCCACCTTCACCGACGCACCCGCCATCCTTTGGCTCCGCCCACTCCACCTGTGGACGGTCAGTGAGAGAGTACTGTCAGACAGAAAAAGACAAACTGAATGTGGCGACAGATACTGTTTTATTTCTTGTGTCGTGACAAAAAAAATCAAAACACTTAAAATTGAATGTGTTTTGATCTTTATGGTTTTTAGTGATTATGTAACTCAAACCCCCCCCAAAAAAAGGTCTCGGAACCTGAGACCATGTTTCCCACGAGAACAGGAATCTAATATTTAACTGTTAGAGGCCTGAGGCAGGGGCGTACGACACTAAGTCTCAATATGATAGAGAGAGAGAGAGAGACAGACAGACAGAGAGAAAGAAAGAGAGAGAGAGAAATGTAAATGGTAAAGATAGACAAAATAGCAAAATAAAGAAGGAGAGAGGAGACAAAAGGAAGCAAAATAGAGGACAATGAGGAAATAAGAAAAGAAAAAAAAAGATGAAAACAAAAAAAGAGATGAAAAGATAGACACGTGAGAGCAGTTTGAAAAGGAAAGAAAAGAAAAGAAAGATAAAGATAAACTAATGAATGTACACCGAGAAGAAACAAGAGGGGAAAAAAACAAGTGAAACTGAGTAGAACACAGAGGAAAAGGGAGGAGAAGAGGAAAAACCTGGAGTTTGAAAAAAGAGGGAAACAGCTGTAAGGGTAAAAGGAGGAGTTCAGGAAAGGAGAAGAAAAAAAAGGATTGTGTTGAGCCTGAAGGAGGAGAGAGAGAGGAAAAATACATTCAACAAAGAGAAATGGAACTAGAGTTGAGAACTCTAATATTTACACACAAAAAGAACTGTTAAAAAATAGAACCATTTCAAACACTAATTTCTGAAACATCAGTAACAACGAAGCCCAGTCGGTGACAGTCACACACAGAATGCTTTTTCCAGGAAAACTCTGTGCAAACATGTAGACAGTTTAACAAAACAAATGCTATATGCTCCCCCAGACAAACTAGCACAACACACCAGTCTACAGAATCAAACAAATACAAACCCACAGACTCGATGTGCCCTAACAAGCTGCTGACAGGCTACATTTTAGCCCACCACTAACATGATGCCGATATGATAGTTGCTAGCCCACCACGAAATACCTGTTAACATTTTGTATGTTACGTATCTTCAGTGGTATTCAGTTCTTAAATTAATCCTAAATTCCCACCCTTCCTGTTCTTAAATTAATCCTAAATTCCCACCACCAAAAGGTGAAACTCCATGTTGACAAAGAAAATATAATATAATAACGTATTATAGGCTGCATCCCTAAGGATAATAGAACAGAACTGAACACTTTACCTTTAAAATAAAGGTCGACACTCCACAAAACCAGAAATGTACTCATACCAATGGTTCTTCACATCACATTTTACTGTGTGTGTGTGTGTATGTAGGTGAGTAAGCAGTCTGCAGCATACCAGAGAACACTGAAACACTGACCTCACATCACAGGCATCTAAAACACACACAGCCTCCTCTTTTCTTTAGACTCCTCACTGACTTCCACAGATGACCAGAGTCTTTCTACTGACACCCAGCCCCCCCCAAGATTCACACCTTCATCCTGTCCTCAACCACAGCCTCAGACATAAGCTTCTGACTCAGTGGGACTGAGATCTACATTTGGGCTGAAAAGGTACAGTTGAGGGTAACTAAAAACCAGAATTTAAACACACACACACAGGTCCAACAAGACAATCTGGTTGTAAAGGTTCAGAATGTAAACACATATGCTAACAGGAAGCTAACTCTCACACAAGCGCAGGAAAACCCCATAAAAATGTGGACCCACACATGTGGACACAACTGACGAGTAGACAGACACAACACCTTTCACATTTGGATTCAATTCAAAATGAATAATGCGACACCTGAAAATTCATTAGGATTCCTCAAAGTTCAAAAATGATTGTTTTTCATGACTAACTGACAGGAACACAACTGCAGTGGTCAGTAGGAAACTGACTGTTGCCCAAAAAGATGCCCAGATGCCTTAAGGTATCAGGGCATGCCACCTTAAAAAAATCTTTAAGGTGGTCCGCTCGTTAATAAGGAACACACAATTGGCTAGCTTTTGTTTATTTAGTGAGCGATTTCTTTTTAATATATACTCTTAGATATATATACTGTTAGGAGTGCACCACAGAATATGGGAGATTTATCAGATGCATTTATTTTATTATTATTTTTACAAGGATCTGCTTTTGTTTTATATCTTTCTAACTGTATGCACAGTAGAAAACGAGGCAGGTATCGCTGCAGCAGATGTGTTTCATTTAAATTAAAAACACAAGTTTAAAAAGGCATGGAAATTCCTTCCTTTTTTGGATCGAAAAATATCAAACCGTCGATTCTGTCTGATACATACAGAATATATACGTACGCATGACCCCATCAGCTGATCATGTCTGAAACTCGTGCTCATTGTTCCTTCCTGCTGGTGATCAGAGACTGGAGCAGGAAGACAAAGTTCTGTCGTCACGGACAATTAAAAAGAAAGAAAAAGAAAAACCAAAGCAGCTGCTGCTGATGAAGACGGCTCTGCTTAAATTAGCTCCTCGTCTCACTTCTTAGCTGAGAGTCTGACTCTGTGTGAAGGATTCACAGATCAGTTTGATTCATTATCTGACTGATACAGACAGGTTCATTGAATCATCCACAGAACAATGAGTTCAGCTTCCTGCCTTGATCAAACAGAGATGTTTCCAAAAACCTCTGATGAACCATCTACAAGAGGATAATGTAAGACTGGAACAACTTCCTGTTGATTACAACGTTTTTCCAGGTCAAAAGTTTAGACAATTCTACCCGAGTAACTTTTAACGACTATGTATCATTTCCTGTATTGTTATTGTAGATAACTGACTCAGCGTTGACCCCTACAGTAAGCTTCAGCCTGGATCATCCAAGCCAAATTTGGATATACACATCAGGATATTGAAAAGTTTCCTAAGACCTACAGAAAGTTTGCTGGTTTTTTTGGAGGATTTGTGATATTACAACAACTAGTCATACATTTGTTTGTTTTAAAAATGTTTGCCCTAAACCAGTGATACCAATTTGTGTACCAACATAACTTTTTTACGTAACGAATTTTACTTTAAATATATCAAAAAAAAAAAATTATTCAAGCGATAATTTCCATTAGTTTTTCTTCCTCCTTTGCCCTCTGGGTGGCGACTGGAGCAGTTTCCTTACATCCAGGTGTTTGGTTGGGGTGGAAGTTGTCAATCTGTCTTTTCTTACTGATGGAGGTCATGTGACCAGGACGTTTTTGACCGTCAGCTCAAATATAACATCACGGAACTCTTCAGTGTGAAATGTTCATGACAAAGAGGGCGTCGGGTCGAGCTGATGACTATCTTTAGACCTGTGTGTGTGTGTGTGAGTGTGTGTGTGTGTGTGTGTACATTACCATAGGAAGGGTGTGTGTGCGTGTGTGTGTGTGCGTGTGTGTGTGAAGGTAGCTCAGTCGATAAGTAGAAGAAAAAGAAACACACGGAGTTGATGAAATGCATGAAGTCTGAGTCTCTGCAGTCAGTTTTCACATCATTGATCAAATCCACTGCTGATCAATATTTCAGCCAGTGGTGGCGCTAGAGCAAACAAACTTTATCTACTTCAGTCTCAAACATACAACACAACGCAGCTTGATCTCACTGTCAGGCAGGCTTCTCAAACTGAAACTTAAATTTCTTTAAGGAAGTGTACGTCACCATGCCAAAGTCCACCAGGGAAACGATCGATTTGACCTCAGAGGTACAAAAGAGTGGTTCTTCAACTGGCTCTGTTTTGAAAATTCCTTTGTTCACATACTGACCACAGGAGGCAGCAGTGAACCAACAGCTATGATGTATCAAAAGGCTAAAATCACTGATATACTGTATGGACTTTGAGGTGTGTGTGTTTGGGGGGGGGGGGTTAGACACAACACAGACATACGTTAACACAGACAGACTGTGATGAAGCAGATGAGTTCAACTGTGCTGTTATCAGTCTAGGACTGTTGCCTAATAACATCAGAGCAGAATCCAAACAACATGCAGCTAAAAATACACACACACACACACACACACACACACACACACATTATTGGGATGCCTGCTGAGAACGTCTTTGCCCACTTGGGCTAACTTAGGCTATTTCTTTTTTAGCTCTTTTAGCATATTGTCACGTGCTGTGGCTTTTATTTATATTTTGTGCTAACTAAGGTTATCTTTAAATATAAGATTTACAGTTTTAAATTATTATTATCCGAGATAGCATAAATTGCCTTTTTAAATTTTGATTAAGGTCAGTGGTAACTTTTATTACGTTATACCTGATGCTAGCTTTAAGCCATTATCTGCTTACTTTTAAATATCCTTCTGATTTACTGATTTGTTTTAGCTATTTGGCTATGTTTTATATATATGTAAGCACATGATTGTTTTGTATGCTTAAAAAAAACCTTAAACCTAAATTCCTAGTTAGCCTTTAGTTATTTCTGGTCTATTTTTTAAATAATGAATATTTTGTAGTTTCACTCAGCCTTATATAACTCACTCCCTGCCGTTAAATACGGGTTTTGGGTATTTCTCGTTTAGTGTGGACACTAAACATTATTATGTATCATGATTTGTATGACATCGCCAAATTATACAGCATTACATCATAATACAAAGACGGGGGTCTCACCTCGGAGGAAACCGTTAGTCTCGTGAAGCCCAAGTGTGGACCCGTTTATTGTGTCCCCATCTTTACTGTTTCCACGCTGAACCGAGTCAGAAATTCCAGACGGTACCGGTCCCGATTCTTCCTGTCTTGGTCTGGGCCTGTCCGTACCAGGACAGAGTGTGAAGGAGCTGGGTGGGTGGGTGGGGGCGCTGCTGAGTTCCAAAAACTAACACCGGAGAAAAGTTTTGGGATCCACTCGTATCCTCTTCTCCCGGTGTACGGGTGGCAGCGGCGGGTCTCTTTCAACTTTCCCCCGGCGACGTCGTCGGTGTCGTGTCCCGTCGGTGGGAGACAGTGGGGTGAAAGAGTGGAAGGAGGAGACGGAAAGTTGAGGCCCGCTGCTCGCTGCGGGCAGGGCGGTGAATCACAGCGGCGTCCACACCGGCGACAGTCCGGCTAATGTTGCGGTTCTTTTTCTGGTCTGTCGCTGCTCCAAGCGGGAAAAGTTTTTTACTGGCGTGAGCGGGGAGTGTTAGCGGAAAACGGAGGAGAGAAAGGGGGAAAGAGAGACAGAGGCTGGCCGGTGGCCTGGCCGCGCCGCGGAACTGTGCGTGTGCGGGCACGGGCGCGTTCCCGTGACGCAAGACCGCAACCGTCAGCCGTGTGTCCCTGAGCTCCACCCACAGACTCCACGACACAGCTGAGACACAGGTCTCACTCCGACACAGATTAACTAAACCCTTTTTATTGATCACATTCTTATATTTGAGGTTTGAAATAAAACTACAAGGCTGTCTTTAAAGTTTTAAAATGTAAATGTTGTTACACACTTTTAAATATGGCATTTTCTCATTTTAAGTAATATTTTATTTTTAGTTCAGCAAGTTATATTTACATTTTTATTTCAAAAATGCTACCCACTTTTATTAAACACATCTAGAATGTTTTTATTTTGATATTTATATTCACCTCTGAATAAAGTTGATTTAATTTTAAAATAAGATCATATAATTTTATTGTGGCACATGAAATTTTATCTTGTAAAAATGTATTTCAAACTAATTTAATGACATTTTAAAATGTGATCCATATTTTCTGTCATTTAACATTTGTTTTTCGTGTGATCTTTAAACTCCATCCAAGTTTTTTTTAATTATTTAAACGTGAATTTTAACAGCACATCTTAGTTTATTTGCAATTGAAAAGTAATTATTAAATTTTATCACCTTTTTTTTCTTCACAGTTTTCCATGTTAGTGTAAGTGTTGCACCTGAGTTCAGTTTCTGTTGGAGTGGACTATCTTCGAGCTCAGAGACGACCTATGGTGCCATGTCACTCCTCATACTTCACACTCTCGCGTGTCTTCGCACTGAGCGCAGGTGTTAAAAAGACATGGATTATAAAGATGAGTTTTTGCAAGAACTGAAAGTTTCGGAGTTCGTGTTGTTAAGATGTGACGCCACGGTGACGTTACCATTCTGACGTCTATCATTTATAATGACTTTACACAAGGGACAGAACTACAAAAAAAAAAAAACTCCCACCAGGAAGTGACATCACTAAATCCTGTTGCATTTAATGGGGAATTTAAATGAAATTATACTGGAGAAACGACGATAACAAAAATCACATGACCAAATTTTGTATGTCAATCACAATCACAGTTTTGGTCAAAGGTGAAACGGAGGTTTAGTTTCTGAGTGTTTATCCCAGCATCATGTGGTGCGTTAGGGGGCAGCAGAGGTGAGCGTGGTTAGGAAACACCTACAGGCCAGGAAACTCAAACAAAGACCTTTAAAGAAAAAAAAAAAAAACATCCGTTAAAAAACTGGGCAAAGGAAGAATGAACTGTTCCTGGTTGTCCCTCAATGTCTTGAGGTCAGAGGTCAGAGCATGGGTGGCACCAAGGAGGGTCTTACCTGCGTTTCAACCGCCACTGTTGTACGATTGAGAATGAGGTTTGGCTTGAGCTTGATAGTGAAATAAATATGCAATATTTTCTTTTTCAATAAAAAGTGCTTGTATTGAGTGATTGTTATACAGTAGCATATCAGTACAGGTGTGGAACACTATATTAACGTTGTATAGCCACTACTGTTAATGTGTGTGCTTGTGCACATACTGTATTTCTAGGAGCACCCCAGTCAATGTTGGAGCACCCAGGCTTTCAGTGGAATGTTTAGTGGGGAAAGAAATACACCCACAATGCACAGCTCTGGTGTTTACCTGTGAACGAGGCCTGCACATGACATGCAGACCACATAAATAGATTCTTCATAATGAACACCAACAACACCAAGATCCGCTACAGGACCTCTGATGGTACCAGGTACCATCTTTATGTTCCTGTTAGAGCCTCCCCTGAGGCTCTTGGACTTGTTCTGTCAGACACAGCTCCACCTCCATGGTGGACTTCATAGAGAGTTGAATGTCCTTCACTGTGTCTCTGAACATTTTGGTGAAGTAGTAGTAAAGCAGCGGGTTGATCACACTGTTCATCGCTGCAAAACACAACGTCACTATCACACCTCGATGCAGTGGCACCATGATCCTGCAGTCCCACTGTCCATAGGCTGCGTGTATGTGCAGTGTCCGGAACACATGATAGGGCAAGAAGCAGACCAGGAAGGTCACTGTCACCATGGTGATAAGATGAATGGAGCGGCGTCGGTTAGGCCTCTGAATGCCAACGGTACCGCTGGGAACAGAGGGGTTCCTCAAGTGTCGAATGATGCTGGAGTAGCAGGAGATGAGTGTGAGGAAAGGCAGCAGGAAGCCCAGAACCAAGGCCAGGTAGTTAATGATCAGGATGTGAGTCGCTGAGTTTCCAAGTGGAGGCTCGAAGCATCGGGGCTTCTCTTCTCTGAGACAGAAAGCGAGGAGATGTGTTTGAAAAACCTGCCGTTGGCTTTGACCTTACTCTAATGTGGGAGTGGTTAGATCTCACCTGAGTGTCACACCTTTGCACAGGAAGGGCGTAGTTGACACACCCACAAACAGCCAGATCCCCAGGCAGATGTATAAAGTCCGAGTGGGCGTGGCCATGGTGCGGTGACGGTGTGGTTTGGTTATGGCGAGCCAACGGAGCACGCACACTAGAGTGAGGAAGAAGATGCTGAGGGAGAAAGATTGCCACGTCACTGGTTATAGCTTTAAGTCTTTATTAGGGTCATGAACTGCTACCATCAATAACACCAACCATCACCTGGTGTAGAGGTTGACATAGAAGACAAACTGACAGAGGCGACACAGCCAGTCAGAATGTTTCCACTCTGAATTGTTGAAGTAATAACTCAGACGTAGAGGCAGCGTCAGGGAGAAGCTGAAGTCTGATAGGGCCAGGTTCATGATGACCACGCAGAAGGCGGAGCTTGTGTCCAGCAAATGGGAAGAAAAAAGAAGAGCAGCACTGTTTTTCAAATGTGGAGTTCTTTTGTAACATGGATAAAATTAACCACTTAAAAAAAGGTTTCCTAAATGTAACCCTAGAACCAGGTCAAAGGTTTAAAGACCAAAGTAACTAAAGGGTAGCAATGAAACAGTTAACAATTACCATCAAGAGAAAAAAACTAAACATGTGACTAACTGTTTACCCCGATTATGTTGAAAGTTAGTAAAAACCTAAAAGAAGGAGAAAAAATACTTAAATTTAAGAGTGATAGTTAAAGTATGCCAATACAAGTTTAAGTTGTCCTTAATTAAACTGGATATACATATGAACATCTATTAACTACATAAAATGGCTATTCTGACAAAACTGTCAAAAGTCATACATGACTAAAAGTTAGTTCAAAAATAACTAGTGTTCAGGGAAAGAACTACAAACTCACAACGGTTAAAACATAAACACAGAAAAACTCAAAAGAAAGTTTACTTCTTTAGACTTCAAAGAGAATGGATAACATTGAGCTGATTTTACGGTGGTTCGCTCTGGTTCGCCCTCTGGTGTCTCCTCTGCAACATAACATGGCGTTACTGCAGAGGGTTATATATACAGTATATATACATGTATATTCACTGTATAATGTAAATAACAAGGAGGGCTAATAAATGAGACCTAATGAAGAAAAAAAGTTTTCTACAACGTATACAGTACATAGGTGGCCCTGCTCCATCTTTCCTTCAGTTTGGGGTCTTTGACCTGACCAGCCTGTGTATAAGACCTTGACCTCTAGCCTTTAAAGCAGAAGTGTGTTAGACACTCACCGTGGGATCTTCCTGTTGCAGCTCTGCTTGTAGAAGACCACCAGCACCACAGCGTTACAGAGAAAGGCCAGTGGACACAGCAGCAGGTAGAAGCTTTTGTAGGCCTGCTGTCGGAATTCTTCATCAATGTGTAAACAATTTTCTGAGGACATCAGGCGCGGTCAAAAGATCTATAAAGAGAGTATTAAATACATGTGGAGGTTAAGGTTTAGAGAGAATGAGCTGCTCCAATGATTCCTGCGTTGTCACTTACCTCAAATGTTCTTCAGAGGAAACGTGTTCAAACGTACTTCTTTTTGTGTCTAATTTTCCGTCGTTCAATCTTCCTGTTAAGACGTGTTTGAGCTTGGATTGGAGCCACTGCAGATTTCCCTTGAAACACACGCACACGCACGCGCACACTAGTAGACACGTCTCGGGCAGAAAGCCATCACGCCCTCGTCCTTTCTGCTCTCCAGTGCTGTTCTTGTTTACTTGTCATGACAAATATTTCTGTTACTAATTTTAACTTCTCTAAAGCCTCCATTAACAACTGACGATTTAGGGGGTGGACCACACGCACTGTTTAAAAGTCACTTGAATTAATTACTGAAATAAATTAATAAACATTGGTCTAACTTGGATTTATTTTTGGTTACATGAAAAAATCTCAACAGTAAATACAATTTGTCCCACAAAAATACTAAATTGAATACCTAATAATTACAGAATCATCTTGGGTTAAAAACCATGCAAAAAATAAATTTACAGAAAATAAAAGAATCTGCGTTGGCCGGGAATCGAACCCGGGTCAACTGCTTGGAAGGCAGCTATGCTAACCACTATACCACCAACGCTACATGATCCGATCGGCGACACAGCTCTTAATATTCAGTTAGTATGTATCACTTAGTATGCATAAACTCATGCGTAATATGTATCATTTATGTATAATTTAAATCATAATAACTATACTATACGTTTTTGCATTTCTACAGCTGCTTTGTTTACGACACACCGGAAGTGTACGACTTTACGTCACTGAAGTCAGCCCCACGTTTGAAGGCTACTACGATTACAGGCAGTTAGGAAACATTCGGTTTTATTTTCAATTTCAATCCCACCAAGATGTGACACATATTTAGATTTTTTTTGTTTGATTTGATTTTTTATTTACAAAGAAAACTCTATACTTTTTTCTATTATACAAAAGTGACTTTAGCGTCTTAACTTTTCGAGTACAACAAGTAATTACTATTTTCATAATTCTTCTTCTTACTTTTGCTTGGTTTAATTTTTTTAATTTAGTTGCCATGTTGTATTCTGTCCAAATGATAAGCAGTCCAAAGCAAAGACACAACGAGAGTATTTTAATTAACTCGACTTTAATTAAAATTTAGTCTAAACGGTACTGCATGATTATCACTTTTTTTCTTTTTTTTTTCCCATCATAGCCAGTTCAGAAAACCCTGGAGAAAAGCAGGCCAGAGCAAAAAGATTTAGTAAACTGGCAGTGAATATTTCGCGGGTCAGGACACAAATGTGTCAACCCCACATTCTACCAGTAGATGGCGACAATATAACATATACTTTTTAAGAAACACACAAACATGTGGTGCAGTACCGGGTTCTCGTCTGGTGTGCGGGAGGTCTTCGTTTTTTACACTATTAGCGCATAGTAGGACGACGCATAGTTTGTTTTACGTCCTTGTTTTATTTTACAATGACATAAAATGAACACAAGAGGGCGCAAAGGACTAGCAGCTCTGTTGGCTGGCAAAATAAAATCAGCGACTTTATGGAATTTGGTGCTCCTGAAAAGTAACGTGTCAAGACTATTTTATAAACATATATATATTTTCAACAAGAAAATCTGATGCAGTAATTTAAATAAATAGAGATTCACTAATTGGATTTTTTTCAACTGCATATCACTACAATAACTACTAATATCATATGCAATAATGTGTTGGAAATAATGACCTTTAGTTGATGTTGATCTGAGGATCAGAAACACTGAGCTCTAGGTCTGAGCAGACTAAAAACAACAGCAACAGTAAATAATCTTAAACTAAACTTCAAGTGTGCCTCCATTGCGATCACATGCCAACTGGGAAACTGTAATAACAGAAATACTGACTCGATTACGGTGTGAGGATAACAAGGCAGTTCATTGTGGTTTTGGAGCACAGAAAAGTCTGGCCATCAAGTTTATAAACTCTGGGATTTTATCAACTGTTGTTTTATGAAAACATCCACGCACTGTTTGTTGTTGTTAGCCTTTATGCTAACTGCAGCTGTGGCATTATTACATTTGTTTTACTCTCCATCTCTTACGTTCACCCTCTTCTTTAATTACGCTGTCTTGCTTTTTCTCAATTCGGCTCTCTGTCGCCCCCTTCTTTAGCTCCTTCTATATACTCTTTAACTCTCTCTCTCTCACACTCCAGGTCTCTCCACCCCACTCTGTTCTATCTCTCTCTACCTCTCGCTTTCTCACTCTGGCAGGCAGCCAATCACACCGCACGCGGTGAGCAGCGCTACGCGGCATGCCGCCACGGGCACTGCTGACAGCAGAACACACACACACACACACACACACACACACACACCTCCCCTCTTCGCTCTGTCGCACAAGAACGTAGCACGTTCATAACCTCCGCCGTCATTTATCACCTCCCCCCTCCTGCTCCCCCTCCTTTCTTCCCATGGTGCTGTTTTTCTCTCCCTCTCCAGGCTCTTGTCTTTTTTTCTCCGCCCCTGCAGGAGACGCTTCCTCCTCGACCTGCTTCATTTACCTCCACCCCCTCTATTCCTCCTCCTCCTCCTCCTCCTCCTCCCCTACCACCAGCCTGTGCCAAGCCCAGGTGATTATCCATCCACCTCCCCCTCTGTTATCCATCACTCCCTCCTCATCCTCTTCCTCTCCTCCTTGGTACGACAGACATATCCCCTCCTGGTGTTCACTCCACTCCTCCTCCTCCTCCTCCACCACCACCACCTCCACCTCCCCTCCTCATCCTCTCCCTCTCTCTCTCCGTGTGTCTCCTTCCCCCGCCAGCCATGATCCGTGGCGGTCTAATTCCCAGACGGTCTCCTCCTTCTTTTCCTCCTTTTTCCTCTTCCTCTTTCCTCCTCTTTTCCTCCTCCTCCTCCTCCTGTTGGCAGGCCCGGTAAGTAGCATCAGCAGCACGCCACCCGCCGTCCATCTTCTCCTCCACCTCCTCCTTCACCTTCTCCTCCTCCTCCTTCTCTGTGAACGACTGCATGCTGGTGCCTTCACGGTATATTATCGGTTCTTATCGGATCTGGTTCTGTTTCTTTCCCATTTTTGACTGCCCCCCTCCTCCCTCCTCCTGCTGAGGGAGGAGGAAGGGGGCTGTTAATGCGTGGCGTGTCGCGGGAGCAGCCCCTGGTCTCCTCCCCCCTGCTCCCTCTCGCGACCGGTGGCCACCGTGACCTTCTGTCGGAGCTCACGACGGCCCCCGCTTGACCAGACGGGGTAATTAGTTCTGCCTCCAGGGATAAGAGGGAGGAGGGACGGGAGGGCTGAACACACACACACACACGCACACGCGCACACACACACACAGATTCTCACGCTATGATGACGCACGCGCACAGTGCCAACACGTTCACGCGCTGGGTGTCGTGTTTCTATGCTCCAGGTTTCTTTTCTCTGACACACACACACATGCGCGCGCCATTTTAGACATGTAGGTTTCTCACCGTAACAATTCCAACACATTTGATCAGTTTTTCTTATGTGAATAAAAAGGACGTGTCAGAATGACCTTTTAGGTTTTATCAGTGTTTAAAACTTTTTACAGCCTCAAACGTTTATGAGACAATGTTTGGTTGTTCTACCTGTTCATAAACTTTGACCTTTTCTATGAATCTGACCAGCGTCAGTGGTCAAGTGTAAGTTCTGGAGACATATTTTTGATGTTTTTTAAATAAAAATCTCCATGTTGACGTTGTTGTATCGAGCTGCAGAAAACAGAAACTATCGTCGTTACGTTAAAGGTCTTTAACAAGAACCCCCCTAGAGGGTCCGCAGAGGTACTACAGGTGGTCAATTTCTGGTTGGTTAGACTTCTCCCTGAGCCGGTTTTCAACACCAAGAGGTCTTCAACTGGAGGCTGCAACCCCTAGGTGTTCACAAAGGAACTGCAGGGGAGGGCCGTGTCCGTTTTGGCTTGATTAGACCAGAGGTCTTCAACAGGTGGTTTGCTACACCTTGAGGATGTCACAGGTACTGCAGTGAGGTTATAAAATTGTTAACTGAGTTGACCTGATCATGTCAACAGAGGGCGTTTTTCTCTGAACTCTGATAGCGATCATATCGCCATCAAACACAACTGGACCTTGATCCAACCTGAGTAAAATACTGTTGTGACTGAATCTCCGATCAACCTCCTCGTCTCTGTCTTTGTCCACAGAGAAAACGCAGTGGACCACACAGAATAAAACGCTCGCTCACAATCTGTGAGCAGGAGTGTGCGTGTGTCTAAGTGTGTGCATGTGTGTGCACGGTCATGTCGGGGATGACGAGTGGTGTGTGCGTGGACAGCGACCTCTCCTCCATGCTCCAGAGAAGCTCCGCCCCCTCTCACCATCACCCCAATCACCACGTTTACGGCCGACAAGGACAGGTGAGTCCACGAACACGAGCACTGAATGAATATTCTAGTAAATGGAAATGGTGACTAAACAGAATACGCTAGAAGTTAAAATACAAAAAGAATTTCACTGAAGTTAAAAATTAGACAACAGTCAGACGGATGAAGACTAAGTATTGAAACACTGTCTGAGTTTAAATGAGTGAATTTGTGGCAGGTTTCCAGTTTGGCTCCGATGCTGGACTACACCACAGAGATGGACTGTTATCGCTCGTCCATCGCCAGCTTCTACAAAACCAACGTCAACATGAACGTCAACGTCACCAATTTCCCGCAGTCGGCCAAACTGGCGGCCCGTTTGGCGGCGGCTGCTCCTATCTTCCCGCCCACCGCTGCCCGGCTCAGCAGCATGGCTGCCGCACCTTGGGGGTGTCACGACAACATCAACATGAAACACCACGCGGGCG